TAAGTAGATGAAATGGCTAAGATACTGTATAAATCTGCAAAAATAATCTGACAACGGCTGTTGGTCACACACACTGACATGAAGCAGCAGGCAGGCGAGATAGTAGACCAACTGTGCAGTAATGCATCATTAGGTCAAATGCCCGCTGGAAGGAAAACGAGCGGATGGCAACCGCCTTTCGTTCGTTCATACCTCGAGGGTAGCGGGTTTGTAGAGTTGTGATCCAAAACCGTTCTCTCTCGTACGTCGTCTCGTTTCATCCCATGTAGGGCAATGATCTATGGCAACAACCAGCATGTCTTTCCAACTATGGCTTGTTTATAAATATATGTACCGAGGGCAAGGCATGTTTGTTTTGAACTTCTAAAAATTACTCACAACTAGGCTATAGGTGGTTTGACATCCAGTTGAATAAACATCCATCGGTTGATCTGGACCCAAACATTTGTCGATGGTGTCTGGGTCAGTCTGTGTGTCTCTGTGGCACTGGTCTGGTCTGTATCTAATGCTACGCTCATTAAGGTCATCATTTTCATCACTGATATTATGTATGTTAGTGATCTCAGCTAAAACCTATACACGAAATGTCGAATTAATACCATATTTCCGTAAAATACACGTGTTTACATGTATTGAAGTATTTCAATACAAACACTAACGCGCATCTTGCTTATTTTATAATCCGACATATATCTAGCCGTCATTATACATGTCATTCTATAAACATGGCCTGTTATCTGTTCAATAGACGTATATATATGTCTATGATTTGAAGGAAATTTATACCTTTTAGCATATTATAACTTGGTACAAAATGCATTTAGATATGTAAAGTATTTGACGCATGCCTACCTCAAGTATCCGCCTTTTGCGCACGACATTGCTCTTTACTCTTTTCCTGTTCGGTGTTTCGTACAGGTCCTCATACTTGGAGGTTAAATGGGTTGACGTGTTAACCAAACTGCTTGCACACTTCGGTGAATAATCAAAAAGTGTTGGTATCGCTCCCGTAGTCCCAATGGCGTCACATCCAAAGGGAAGTAACTGCGTACATACTCTGTGCTTCCCAAGGTATACGATTAAACGGGCCGTTTTCAAATAATAAATTATGCACAAATACGGACTTTTCTTTGAAAAAATAGAATGACAACTAATTATAATGTGTTTTATTAATATTTTGACACTAAATTGACGTGTTTTAGCATTTGGTGGTTGTTCACCTTTAATTGTGTTGAAACAATTATGTACAAAAAACTGCGAGTGACGAATTTGTTTGTACTTAATCATTTTAGTTGTAAAAGGTACCAACAATGCCGTCACTAACGGTTTTTGTACTTAATATTGTAACATATTTAGGTACACAAAGTTGTAAGTCAAGCAACAGTTTTACAGTCCGCTGTCGGCCATCGTACGTATTGCATCTTATAGTCTAGAAGACAACAGCCAAATCAAATAGGAAATCTATATTTAGTAACATTTACCAAACCATTTATTAACGTTGAGACACTCTCTTTGTTCGATTTTTGTGTTATTAGAACCTACATACATGTAGTTCCTCCATGTTTATAATTTTAGAAATAAGATGATGTCCCAAAAAAAGTAACGTCTTGCCCGAAAGCTCTACATTCCAGAAGTAAAACATATCGCTGTACACTTACTGTGACGTTTTGACCCTTATTAAAAAGGCTGAATCTGAGGTACACATTGACAGCAATTGCCCTGGTGTAATACGTTTCACGCAAACAAATTTCAATCATGTTGAAGAATCAGATGACCGCAAATTTCCTATTGATTTTTTTTTTTTTTTTTTTTTTTTTTAATGAATTATGTACTATTAACCTTGACACTAATTTCTGCCTAACCTGTATACAGATGCTGCCTAAACAGTGAATAACTGAAGATTCTACCACTGATTTAAACTATAAACAGATCGTTAGAAACTCACAGTAAATATTCAGGAAAATTAACCAGCTTCGTAATTCCTTAAAACACTATAATAAAATACTACAACCTTTGTACAATACCGATAACCAACTCCCTTAATTTATCCAAATTTTGATTCTTGATTTGGCATAGTAGATTATTTGTTATTCTCTTCATTATCCTTTGTTATTTATATATACCGAAGATTGCAAAAAGGCAAAACTAGAGGAGTTCTTTCTCTATAGATAATAAGCATATTGAATTCGTATCATATAGATATATGTTTATATTGTTGTTTTTTATATCAAAATTATGATATGGAATCGGTAGAACATAGTTATAGCATATGTCTTTACGTGTCATATACCTTTTAACCCAAATGTATAATTGACGATGCAGAATGGTCACTGTCGACACAGCAGATTAACACACACGTTTATGAGTTATCTATCTTCAAGCATGTGCTGCGTTACTATCTCGACCCCAGAAGCGTCTCCTTCAATTACAGTGAAATCCAATGTCTACGGTTTAAGTTTCAGGGACTAATGAGAACAATGGTTCCAGACACATCGGTTTTTCGGGTTACAGCACAAAGCACCTCCAGATAAAAATCTGTAACCGTAAAGAAAAGTTTATCAGAATACTCATTATAATTAGGACCAAACTAAGGAATGCACATCAACCAACCCCACACTCCTCATCCGCAAGTTTTCTACCGAAATAGTACGCATATCACAACGGCATGAATAAATAAAACAAATAGGTTTTAAGAAATAATGAAATATAAATAAAAGCAATAAAATCCAAAATGTCTAATCACAGATAGATTACTTCCTAGAAGAATCACGAAAAACATATCTTTAAATGCCTGTCAGATACACAACGATTGGATGCCTGTGGCGCTCTACCTCTTCAATAGGCTTTTTGATAGCGTATTGAACAACAACAAGCATGTCCATTTTATTAAACCAATCATATGATATAGTATATATCATATGTGATGTAACTTATTGTCATACATTGTTATTCTTTATGTATACGAATCGTCATAGTCCCTGCAGGTAGGGCGAAATAAATCTACCTGCTGCCCCCATTGCATGATCGTAAGAGGCGATTAAATTTGGGACCTTATCTTTTCTAATGTTTCTAAACAACTTTTTTTCCTAATGTCTCCCTTGACAATGCCTCACTTTTTACCTTTAATTGAGCGTTCGCTCATGTGAGGAAGGCTTTGGGTTCTGTCCCCTGGCCGAGACATACCACAGTCTGTAAAATGGTAGTTTCTGCTTCTGCTTAATACTCAGCAATTTAGGAGTGGGGTGACTGGTTCGCCCGTTGTCAGTATAATGTGACCCGGTGGGGTGTCCTGCTGGGTGTCTTCGGCAGTATGGTTTAGTGAGGTAGCATGATAAAGTCGGCATCAGTTCCGCGCTATCACAAGGAGACAAACACGAACATATCGCAGCCTCCCAAAACACACACATACCCTACACGCATGTATATTGCACACATAGGAGGCCATCCTTAAATGATCCTAGCTGTTGATAGGACGTTAAGCAATATTAAAACCAAAAGAATCGTCATAACCAAATGTGCGTTATTTCATGACAACATAACGGAATACATATTATTATCGAGGCTCATTTTCACGCTCTTCGTATTATTCTGCTGTCAAGTTACTGACCCACGAAATCGCGAAAATATCATCCCCGCGTAAATATCCTGCTATCGGTACCTACCTACCAACTGTAGGATAAAAAGGTATTAAAGTTTGATGTTACCAATTGTTTCTCGAAAAGGATACAGCAAATACACCTAATAAACCAAATGGTAGGGTAGATTAGAATAGAAAAAAGCAACTTGTTTTACAAAATGCACAATAGATAACGCCCGTGTATCTCTATTCATTATTTTCCCTTTTAGTTAGAGAATGCATTAAATAGTTTTAACTATTAAATGCACACAAAAGACAAGCAGTATATCAGTCGTCTGCTTTAAACCAGCTACTTTATATCGATGGAACAATTTATTGGAATAAATAAGCTCTTTACCCTTCTTAAAAAGTTTAAAAGATAATCATTTCGTCTCTACCTTAACCGCTTACCTTTTTAAACAAGGAAAACATTCCTTTCATATATCACATACAAAGCGGAGAAATAATTGTAGTGAGATAAATAAAGATGTTTTTTCAGCGGTAATCTTCAGTCATTAGTCCTGAGTTTTTATGTGAAACCCCTGTAAGAATGCGTTTCAATACTTTCTGTGTCCTATTTATGAGAATGAAAAGAATAATTTGTTCGATATGCTTATCGTTCTGACTCGTTCTGAGTCCAAAAACATTTTTGATTAAGTGCATAAATAAATTCATACTTGTTAGTTTACGATTTAAATAATGAAGACAATAATCCTCTCTCATCCCTCTCCCTCTCTACACCTACCTGTGTCTATCTCATCCCTCTTTCCTTTTTTATAAAGAACGGAAAACGAATCTAAATTAGCAATAACAAAATGCTTGAATAGTCAGTAAAATCAATGAGTGTGTACCTATACGTCATTGTTTTATAATATTAAAACTTCTATCTGTATTATCATTTTCACGTTTTGTATTACATTTTCGAAATTGATAAGCACAACAATTAAATCAGTATTGAGGAAACACAATCACACGAAGCCTTGGCTAGTTACATGTTTAATATAGCAGTTGTTGTTATATAGCCCTCCGTCAGTCAAGGAATACAAATCTTGGTGTAAAGAGAAGGTCGACAAGTACACGGTTATAGCCGCATACAGCCGGTTTATGTCGGTGAAATCGTCGATCTTACAAAGGCTTTCAAACATTGGATGGAGATCTACGGACCATGCTATTCAGGTCATTATCACCGTGTTGTAAATCATTTATGTAGCAGTATTAGTGGTTCATTTTACCTGTGAGGTGGTCATATCCCGGCGTTTCCAATGAAGTCGGGTCTATGTGATCGTTCACAAATGAAAGACGAGTAAAACATCAACAATTCTATCAGTTATTTTTTTTGTGAAAGTAATCAAAACTATATGAAATTCATGTTTGGATTTTGTATAAAGTGTAGATGTTCTGATATGGGATCCAACAAACCGGTCAAACTGACTTTAAATCAAGAGTTGACTGAGGTCATACACTGGTACTCGCATGCAACACTGGTTATGCATTATATGATATAATTCACTTGAGCGAGTGTGGCACAAATAACATGTGTACACTGTGATGCCTACTGCCAGCGTCAATGTTACATATATAGGCCACAAGTCAGCCAGTGGTGCGAACGTAAAGGCACATTTCAGAAATAACTTTTATGAAACTGAGTTTAACCACACACAGCTCAATCAATGACAACACAAAATAGCTGTGTGCGATACAGTATACACACGCGTGGTTAGTTAATAGTGAACAGTGTGTTATATTTGTGGTAAATAAAAACACGATACATTAGACCGCATATCAGTGTTATCTTAAAAGTAATAATGCAATGCTGTAATTCCCCCGTCACATGGACGAATACAGGAAATCAAGACAATGACAAGATAACCGCCGACATGTAAGTGATTATTGTTTACCACCTGCCGTACATATGGGTATCACGATACATACGGAAATGGTTTCAATCAAACACAGATGAGCCGATGAAAATAGTGCTTTAATGCATTAATTAAGCCCAATTTTAAACCAAATCCTAAAACCAGTTGTCCAGGTAAGGATACATATTCCAGTAAAACTGCGTATATACGTACAATGTACATATGCTTCTACGTACTGTCCTATTTACACAAGTATTCGTGTCGTCATCATAAACAGTGTATGTGTTTTGCTTATGTTCTGTTTCAAAAAAACCTATTTTTTTAATGGGTCACCCGTTTGATAATTCGATCTGCTTCATTTTATGCCCCTTTTCCAGCTGAATGGGATGCACATATACACTCTGTTACCATTAATATTACACAATGTATTTCACAACACAAATATTTTGAAGAATAACATCATTCTGTCAGTATTTGGTGTATAGAAGCAGGAACTGAGGGATTCAAAAAGCATTGTTATTTTTTTCGCCATCGTTTTGTATTTGAATGCTTATATACATTTTTTTTTAAATATTGATCGATAAATTATTATGAAATAAGTGACGCTAGCTATTCCGTAACCTAAATAAGTATAATTAGTATATCCACTTAACTAAATTGAAAATAATAGGGCGAAAACATGGATTAAGACATGACATTATAATGGTAAACAAGCAGCAATATTCTACCTTCTGTTCATAGGTGACTAAGTGCTAACGTAGTTAGGGGAATGTTTTTAAATTTTAAATGCTTTTGTTCAAGTTTAAAATGTCAATAAACACGTACAATTAAATAAAACATTTCATTCTGATGATTGAGAAGTAAGTGATTTTGTATTTATTTATAGTATTTCTCATCGTTCATAACAAGCTTAGCTGATAATACATGTATAACTTTGAAGTGATAGCCTTCATATGTACATAATAAACTGTTTAAAAAGAAATATACAACATGGTATTAGGGATGAAGAAAGTAATGACTGATGGAGTTTTCCCGGTTGAATTGGTAGTTAAGTGTAGATGATATATTAATGTTGTAAAATCATAATTGCTTGTAAATCTTCTTCATTTTAAAGATCATCATGCGTTTGAGATACATTACCAAACAGTAATAAAATCAACACTTAATTGGTAAGGCATAGACCCTTTGGCGTGATTGATTGTGATTAGTTAATTTTTTTTTTAGTGGCAACTGTCTTTTTACAAAATGTAAATAGAGGATTGTCTACAAGATTTCTTCTAAAAAGATGACGTTTAAAGAACTGAATTTGAGACGTAGTCTAGTATGATATATTGTCGAGTTTTGGTTTAGATAGACAACGAAGAATTAAATCGAATCCCCTCATGAATATTATTCCAAAGAGAACTAATTGACGGTAGGAAAGACTTAACTCAGTAGGGCATAAGATACCTGCTAGATCGTTACCATGCCTAGTGCTGATAGTATGTATTGGCAACGAATCCCTTAAATTGGTGGTAATCGTCATGTTTTATAAGACGATCCACCACGTGATGTAACAAATGTTTACGATACAACAATACACTACCATACCAATTATTTTATTTGCAGTGTTACATGTCAATATCACATTACAAGAGAATTTACTTAGTGTAATATTCTATTTCACTTATATGATCCGAAATAGATTGACTTCCAGACAAGAAAAAATCAATTCGTAGAAGTTGTGAATACAAATGGGATATTCCTCCCGCGAATTTGAATTTTGAATAAAGAGCAGCGAGGGCTCGGCTCGCTGGTTTTGCTAACTCCCATGCCGATAGTTCTAAGAATTCTATAAAACCTAATCCTCCGAGCTTGTGTTTTTGTGTTGATATAATGGACTTCACAGTGGAAATTCAACGAAGATCTAGGCACAGATTGTTTCTAATTTTATCACATACCTTCCGTATTTGGTAGAAATCGATACAAAGATTTTATAAACTTTGATATTTTTTGCAAAAACCGGGAACTTTTCAGTTCGCCATGACAAGGGAATTCCCATTAAAAGTAGTTCCGGCTAGTAGGTAAATACAACATTGTGTATTGCACATGTGCAATACAGAACGGTGTATTTCATGGTCTGAAAAAAGCTTGTATTACTTTAACAATACTCATTAGGTATGTGATAAATAAAGATATTTAACCGTCTCTAAGAATATTCCGCTGATCCCGACAGACATTCATTTGTACCAAAGACAGTCTCTATTTACGGTGTCAAACGTTTTTTTTCGACGTAACACACGTTTGCTTAGATTTATTTTTCATTCTTCTGGACGTTCATGACTTCTTTTCTCCCAATCGGTTTGTTATCTTCCCGGTTATTTTTGTGTAAGCTTTAGGTCTCAGTTTTGTACTTGTCCGATGACAATTCATAAATGATATTCTTATGATTTGACTGATCACTGGAATCAGTACTGCATTTGTCATAGCGGACTGCTGTTTCTTCTACATTGTAGTTACATTAACACTGTAGGCATGCCTTTCAATCTTGTGTGTTTTCTTCCACAATTTGTTTTCAGGATGAGGCGATGATGATTATACATTGTATTACCTGTCAAGTTTAGAAATGGAGAGCGTTTCGAAGTCCTCCAAGCTGGAGTTTAAAGATTTGATGGTGTCAACTAAATCTAAGGTGCTACTGAAGAATGTATCCGGATCAGCGTCTAGTGGTGATCTGCTGGCCGTTATGGGGCCTACAGGTAATATCCTTATGCTGATATATGTACATGTATATTACAAGTCCTTTCCAATTCTTAATGAACATATCTTTTGTAAATCGAAATATACAAAATGTATTTGAAAAGTTTCTATATATAGTTATAATATAACATCATGTATTTGGGCTTATGTCCAAACAGTCTAACTCAACACAATACGTACTTATTGCCCGAGTATCGACAGACACGTTTGGACATCGAAACCAGAAAAAAATTACCTACACAAGTTTTGTGTAACAAAGTATACATTTGCGTATGTATTATGAGGACAATGCAATAAAAGTTTGATACATAAATCGGACTTTCCAATTTTAATCATCTTCGCTAGCCAAGGGTTACGATCCGGTTTAACCTTGGCTAGCGAAGATGAATTTAAGTATGAACATCGAAACTTATTATTATCTGAAAGCATTTCGAACCCATTGTTTTTCTAAGTGAAATTATATAATTCTAAAATTAATTTTAAAGTAAAACTGAAACAATTTGTATCAACTTAAATTAATACTTCTTGTTGGCACTAATGGAAGTGCATAGAGACTTTTAATGTGGAAAGAAAAAAAGTCTAATCTGGAAACACGCATTTGATTGAGTAGATTATCACATACCAGTCATGTCCGATTGTAGAATCGAACCCATGCCGTCTTGGTGAAAAGAGAGTGCGCTAACCACTGAGTCACCCAACCAGTCATACCTGTGATATATTGCTAGTGTTGTTTTGCAGGCGCTGGAAAAACAACTTTTCTCAATGTACTAGCGGGAAGAGTATCACGTGACTCCGGGACAATCACTCTGAACAGGTCACCTTTAAACAAAACACAGCGACGTCGCCTTGGTTATGTGTTGCAGGATGACATATTCCTGTCAAACCTGACGTTGTGGGAAACACTTTACGTGAGTATGTTAATAGTTAAAAATGATTTTAATACGTCAATATATTTGATGAGGGAAATAGATTGAAATTTAGAAAAAATATATATAATTCTTTGACATAAATGTAGTCACTGATATACCAATTTCAGATAATATTCATATAAAATATGATTTTTATGGTTGACATAGTGACGTCATCATTAATAAAACTTTGTATTAAAAAAAACCAGTGGATACCACTGACCCTTTGAAGATGGTTGTTCTAACCATATACCATGCATATACTTATTTGATTTGAGTGTATTGCTGAGTTTGAAATGTAATTTTGATTATTCATATTAAAAATATGGTATAAACAAATTTCAGTTTGCATTCATAGTCAATATGAATCGAATGTGACATATTCAACATAAAGCACACTAGTAAGCATTTATATTGTTTATAAATGGCAACTGGGCGCAGTTCAATGAGTATACACTGTAGTAATTATTGTTAATTATGGCGTTAAAATTCAGAATATAGAAAATACTGAACTTTACAAGTGTGTATTTCTATGATCTTAATTATCGAGGATGTGTTTGCTAATTAAAGGCCATTGATTTTAAGCGTAGTTTCTAAAACTTCATGTTATATCGGTCACAGTCGCAGTTCACATTAATAATCGATTGTTGACATGTAATAGGGCTAGGTTTTGGTAATCAGAAGCATTACTGGTAAGAACATATACAATGCAGAACATAAGTAAATTATAAATCCAACTTAATTACTTTGATATACATGTGATATTTTTGGTATACCTGGTAATTACTTTTAATATTTATGTGAAATTTTTGGTAAATGGTAATTACTTTTTAAATTTATGTGATATTTTTGGTATACCTGGTATTTACCTTTAATATGTATGTCATAAATTTGGTATATCTTGTGAATTATATTTTAAAACAAACTTGTTTATAATGCACTGTTTCTAAACGCTGATTAATACCATTATCCCATCAGGATTGAGATTTATTTCGAGAGTAGATGTTAAAAATTGCAATGGTGGATACTGAAATAAAATAATAACCTCAGTTTACAGCGATGATACGTATACCAGACCAAGTATCAAAACAAGAAAAGACGGAGAAAATAAATACAATTGTCGAATCATTGGGTCTAAAAAAGTGCTTACATACAGGTTAGTACTTACGTTGTGTCGAGAAAGCTGTATATACGCTGAATAAACACAAAAGCATGAGTTTGTTGAACACGGTGCCACTAAAATGTAATCCAAAGTGAAAAAAAATACACAAAACAATTAGTCGGTTTTTATTTTTATTTTAACTTTAAATGTATATAATGTAAGTCCATTTTCTCATATATAATATTTTTTTCTGTTACTTGATTGACGCGTTTTCTTGATACCATTCTAGCTATTGGGGATATTTTTTGTCGCGGTTTATCCGGGGGAGAGAAGAAGAGAGCAAACATTGCCTGTGAGCTGCTAACAGACCCAGATATACTTCTAATAGACGTGAGTGCTTTCCTGTCAATCTATCTATGTTACTCTTGATCTCTGCATATATTTGTCATGTATTTAACACTAGTGATACATCCAGTGTTGAGCATTTGTAAAAGTACTCAAGCATAGTGTTTACCATGTCAAAGGAAACAAAGGACTTGGGGCGTTATTGGTAATTGTTGGCCCGATAAAATGTAAAATATTTCAACTTGAATTTATTTACCAATATCTGTTATTAACATCATAGTGGTTAAAGGGGGTATCTTCCCTGGTGCATATGTGTTCCTACGAGCATGCGTCTATGCCCTGCTATAGCAACAAAACTGCGTTGCTATGCAGAATTCGCCAAAATATAGTGGTTTTGGATAGTTAACATGTATAATTGAATGCCTACAAACAAACACCGGTATGACAATTTTAAGCATCTCAAATATTTGATGCATGCTGAAAACGACAGTGACGAAATTCATGCATTTGTTTGCGTATTTTATTCCATATTACGGATATAACAACTAATGCCAACTCCCCGATGAGACCAGAAATGACCCTTAACGCCCCTAGTCCTTCATTTCAAGTCTAGTCAGTTAATTTGGAACATTATTGCAAATACGAGACTAACGTTGACTACATAATTTATATAAAAGGAGCCGACCTCTGGTTTAGACTCTAGTACTGCACACACGCTGATGGTTCAGCTGAAGAACTACGCCACAGAGTTTAACAAGACAATAGTTGCCACTATTCACCAGCCCTCCAGCCAAGTGTTTCATATGTTCTCCACCTTACTGCTACTCGTGGAAGGAGAGGTAACCTTTTTCAATAAAATTATTTTAAATTGATAACAAAAATAACAACAAATAGAGATTTTTTCAAAATTATAAATAAACAATATTGCTTGTTCTTGGTTATCAGTTATATTCCACGCTTGTGCTTGATTGGTTTAGTTGTATTAGGTTAAACGTCCTATTAACAGCTAAGGTAATTTAAGGACTTTAGACTGCTACTTCACTGAAATACCATGCCGAAGGCGACCAGCGCAGTATCCAACCCTGTCATTTAATGCTGACAACGAGTAAACCAGGTGTCACAATCAGCCTTAATGTTAAAAGCTGAGCAGGGAGTAACCACTACCATTTTTAAGGATTTTGGTTTTTGCAGTGCGGGGATTGAGAAAAAATTAATATCCGCTGTTACCCAGTGCATGGTGTTGGAGGCAACGTATGTTGGAACTCCCTGCAGAAATTTGGATTTGCTTTTGTCTCCTCTATTTGGGGACCAAAATAGATCTGCTGCTCCTATGCAACATTACAGATATTAATAATTTTCTCTTCACCCCGAAATCCTCCTCGTTTCCTAACACCTTGCTTAGCATTCCTCACTATCGGTCTTGGTTTGATCATTGAAGGTAATGGATTCTTTTCCCAGACCGAAGCATCCATGGTAAATGTTTGGCTTTTACTGTAATAGCAACAACTGGTTTACACGTTATTAGTATGATGTTGCCTGAAGAACATTTGTGCTGGGTGCCTTTTGGGAGGTTTTTCAGTGAGGTAGCAATGTGCATAAGGCATCAGAACTGCGTTATCCGCGTGCCTCTAGTACACATACACGAATGTATTACTCACATAGAGGCACATCTTTCAATGACATCACCTTTTAATAGGACATTAAACTAAATCATATCAAACCAAACCAAATATTAATCTTTATAACAATTCATCTGCAAATGTTTATATCAGATATATCGTAATCAGATAATCCATCTCTCGTCAAAAAAGAAAACGTCACAATTGACAACGCCAATCGTTTGCTATTTTTTCTCTCTACATCATTCTTCTAATTGGTTGAAAATAACAAAACAATTTTAATTGCCACGATGGCAAAATATCAACTGCATTATCATTTCAAAAAAGGTTTACTTTTCGTTTTGTTTAGATGGCATACTTTGGTTTAGCCAATATGGTAATAGAGCATTTCGCTAGCCTTGGAATGACATGTAGTCAACATTATAATCCTGCCGACTTCCTCAGTAAGTACGCATACTGTCCGATTCCGATAAGATCCAAACAGTACATACACAAATGTATTGATAATTACATAAAGATATTACTTGCAATGATAAAGATATATGATCAAAGTCTGTAAAAAGCAATTATCGTATTAAACCTGATTAGAGGTATTCTCTAATTATGTACTGTAGTACATGAATTGAGGATTTTATTTTTTAGATTACCGTAGCACCATTACAGTTTTCATTTTGTTTTGTGAAGTAAACTTAAAATGAAAAGTTAGACGCATTATTTTTTTATGAAACCGTTGATATTCTTGCTTTTTCCTGATTCTTATATGCAGCCAAAATAAATTGTTTTATTTTATCTTTCAACAAACCATTAAACCCAAGGGCTAGTTTGGTAGCTCAGTTCACCAAAACTGCCTGGGTTTATTTCCCAAATATAACGTCAAAAGGTATTGGGTCACCTGCGCAACTACTGCACATGAGTTGTTTCTCCGGTTTCTCTGGTTTCCGCCAACTTTAATACAATATTTTATTTTATACATCCCAATCTGTGCAATGTAAAAAGTTACTACGTATTGTATGTATAATGTCATATTACATAAAAAAAATATGTCTTAAAGTATATATGTTTTTCTATCAAGACTTGGAATACACAATAATATTGTAACATATGTTTTTCTATACAGTGCAGATGTTAACCCTTGATACGAACACAAAGGAGAATGAAACAGACACACAGAAGTTCGAAAGGTCAGGAGTTCATACATGTACATAGTACATTTAATAATGGCGAATCACCAATAAATCATAAGCCATTTATGTAATAACATCTTTTAGTATTAAAGATATGTATTTATTACAGTTCCAGATATTGTAAAAAACACTTATATTCAACCGGTCATATTTCCGCGCATCTGAAATCATCTTGAAATTACACTTAACATACTAGAAAAATATCAGCGCTTTCCCTATGTAGCGTGTATAAATACAGTTATCCATGTATGTTCCATCATAAACAAAAACGCTATAATAGTATTACCGATTTACTCAATAGGTAAATTGTTTTCCATTTTAAACAATTATAAAGAAATGTAAACCGATGAGTAGTACAGCATTGCCATCAATGATGTTATATTTGCTGTTCCAGTCTGCAGTTGTTAATTAGCCTGCGAAACGGATACTCTGTTACAGAAACAGACATGGAGGGAAGGATAGGCCCAACAGAGGTGCCTCTTATGCATGGTAATGCGCGTCTTTGAGAGTTTCTCGAATGGGAGGATTGTTAATAGGTTAATTAATTCAATTTATCTAGCAAGAAGCAGCGAAGATATGTATATCTCATGTCGTGTATGTAAAACATTGAACTACAATTATGGATCAAATGGCAGTTAACTGTGTTTTAAGTCAACCAACGTGCTCTTATATGTGTGTATGTTTGTACACATTATCACAAATAGTACCTTTCATTGTTAACTTAAACAGTACATTACTTCTATTTAGAAAACACTTAGTATTAACATATTGAGACAACAAAAGTCTATATTTTTTTGGAAATACAAAGAAAAGAAATGAAACCCCTAAATGCATAGAAACAGACATGGCTAAATCTCAAAGCAGTCAACATGATAAGAACCACTTGTGGTATAGGGAACGCACTCACGAAATTAATTGTTGTGTCTACGTTGTTTATCGGGTCACACTGTCAATTACCATTCATTTTGTTTTCATCAGTCTCCATAATTGTCTTGTTCGTCATAACTTCGAGAAACCATTTTACTCCTGGTGTCGTATGGTTGTGAGCATTTTCCTTATTCACTTCACTTCACGCACTATATCACAATGTTGATTAAACATGTCAGGGATCCACTATTTGACATTGGTGTTTGTATTTTCGTAATCTATTCCTCAGTGAGAACATTCTCTGATGACGGTAAAACAGGTGGCGATGCTGTCGAAAGGGAGACAACTCGCCGATGGCCAACATCCTTCTGGACACAGTTTAAAATGCTGAACTGGAGATCGTATAAGCAATCCAAGGGAAGAATACTGCACAAATTTGACCTGATACAAGCTGCTTTCATTGCTGCTTTTGCCAGTATATTGTTCTTCCAAATAGAAGATTCAGCCAACACTGTCCGAGACAGAATGGGTTTGGTATTGAATTGTTAAGGGATATTTTGCATGGTTACAGGGCAGTATTATATATTGATAAAAAATCCACGTAAATGCTAATGTAACATTATGAAATTTTTCAAACATGTATTATGTGCACAGGTCAAACTAAATTCAAAGTAACTTATAATGATATCGATTTTCATGTACACATGTGGGTTAGCTAGAGCTAGTCTATATGGACAGCAAACAAAATATTGAAAATCTCATTTTTTGTTCATAAAATCCAGATTTAAGAGATGCACGCCAGTCTAATGTACTTGTAACTATATCACGTTGTGAACATCTGATACAATATGAACATAAATGTATACCATTTTATAAGATACAGTCTGTGTCATTTTTACCTTTTGTGATTTGTAGGTAATGATCACCTTGACGTATTGGTCTTTTCAAATGTTAATCACTACGATTTTAGGATGTGAGTATTTTTTTATCATATTATATATACCACGTTTTAATTGCAACAGCGACAGTTAAAATAAATTAGATGATGCTTTACTGTACTGTTCGTAACGACACAATACATATACACGCTAGATCAAAATTAGTAAATATCTAAATTTCGACCAATCAGAGTCTATGGCAGCCATCTTGGATGCGAGATTGCCAAAAGAAATGTTTCTTGCACATCTTGACATGTCTATCCAAACTTCGTTTTGGGAACCGAAATAGCCATGTTCACGTAGTTAACCAATTGTTTATAAATGGAACTGTGAGAATGATTCAAATATATTTTTTTCTATTGAAAGGTGTATGTTAACTGTTTCATGTCCTTGGGTATTTGGTGAATGAATAAAAAGAATGAGTAGAAATTAAAAACGACTAAAGTATTCTAATCATATGAAATGATAATATCAATAAATCTGTCATAAAACTCAACGTCACCCTTATCTACGTTGAACTACAGCTAAATATGGTTATATCGCTCCATATCCCCGGAAAATGTTATCGTGAAGGGTTTGTTGATATATCGTCGAAAATGTATAAAGGAATGGATAGGGAAATATCTTACGGTGAAATAATACTGCACCATACAGCCATCTCGTCCATTTTGGGTTCTTTAAGAGATGGAAAGTTTGAAAATCCATGTCTAAAGTGATTCGTATTGAAATACATCACACATATTCATTGAGAGGCAAGTAAACACGTAATGTGCAGCTGTTCCTTTTGAAAATTGAAAGCCTTCGCGAATATCCATGGTGTACATTTGTAGAAGAGAAAATCGATAACTGTTAAATGAGTTTCGATAAAATAAATAGAAACTGTTTTTTTATCAGTTACTGGTGAGCGGGCGGTTGTCAGCAAGGATCGGTCTGCCGGGGCGTACCGACTGTCAGCCTATTACCTCGCCAAGATTACCAGTGAGATGCCCCTCCTACTGTCCGTCCCTTTCCTGTTCAACACTGCCGTGTACTGGTTGGCTGGTCTGGGAGGTGTGGACGGCTACTTTGTGTACCTCGGTATTGGTATCCTTAATTGTCTCATGATACAGGTATCTAAATTGTATTGATCGAGTATCAGTGTATCATAACATAATCATAATACGTTTATTTAAATCAGTTTTGTTGAAATGAAGTTAACTCACTTTTCAAACTACACTGTGTTCTTACATGTATTATAAATATGAAGTTAACCTGCATGCATTAAAATCTAACCGTTTAAAACAAATTCGCTCAATTATATCACTTACATATTTATTTTTCGCCCTGTGCTGATTTCGTCTTTTCGTTCATGAACGAAAAATCTAAAATGAAAAGGGGCGGGACCGCAATTGTAAATGTGTGACAAAGCCATTGCACGATCGACTCTTAACCATCAGGAAGATTTTATTATCAATAACAAGCTGCCTTGTCAGGTAAAAATGGGCCTCTGGCCTGCAGAGTTCATATAGTATCTTAAATGAGTTTTCATTTCATATCAGATTATATGAAACGAGTCTAAGGTGTTTTTATTTTTGCGAGCTTGGCGAGCAAAAATTAAAACTTCGAGACGAGTTTCATAATAACTTATATCAAATGAAAACAAATTTAAGATACTTTTTATCACATAAAAGACAGGTTTTAAAGCCAAAAGGAGTGTTGCGCCATTCACAATTGACGACGTCACGTCATTGTCCATATTATGACGTCACAATCGATTTCTGACTGCAACTCTCTGCATCTGGATATTCAAAGCCTGGTTAGCCACTTGTAAACATCATTTTGTTTGTGATAGGACTTTTGAGTAGTATATATTCTTCAGATGATCACCTGGAAACTGAACATCTCAATTAAGTATTGCACATACGTTTTGGATTATTGTCTTGGAACAACAAAGTCTAGGGCTTTTTATGTTTTAAAATCTAATCGTCGTAACCAAGGAGCCATTATTGTCAAAGGACGATCTTCTATTCATTCTTTCTCCAATTTTTTTTTTAAATATGTTCCATGCATGCGTTCATATCAAAATTATTTTGTGATTTGTAATCATTTCTAATATAGAGTTTGGCTCACAACCTTGGAGTATTGATTAAAGACGTCAGGCTGAGCATGATGGCTGGAAACGTGATCATAATGGGTGGACTATTGCTGGGTAATTCATCAGTGCTCTCATATAATATCACTGTAACAAGGATACTTGTTCCAGTATTGCGTCAAGGATATTTTGTAGCAATTTTTAAAAGCCAGAAAAATACTACCTTATAGATCAAATCAGTTACTGGATTAATCTTTACGAAGTCCATGGTGTTTGCCATACTTCCATGTGTTTACTATGACTTGTGTTAAAGTTATTTCATGAAAAAATAGCATACATGTAACTAAATAATCAAGAGCTACTAAAGAGTTGTAAATCCATTTGTAATTGCGTATGTTTACATACACAGGTACTTCACTAGTATTACAGTTACTAGTTTTTTCATGTACAGAGATTTTTTAGAGAGGAAAGTAGAAAATAGATACAAATCACTTTAAGACAGAATATATCCGTCATTATATAATATAATGAAATATGTTAAGCAAATGAAGGATTAAGTTTGATAGCAAACTTTACATACACATCGTGACATAACCTAATGGACCGTATTGAACAATTTTGGATAAGTAGTGTATGATAAAGAAGAGATTTTATGATATCGAGTTTTATATCATCGATGGCGGAACCAGAAAGGGGAGATATGGATGGAAAGCATTTTTCTTACTTGAAAACTCATTGGTCACATTTGGACTATATTTAGCCCCTTTTACCTGATGTATAACCCTGGCTATATTGAAATAGTATAATCTAAGATATGATACGAAAACATCGAGGAACGCGTTTTAAAGTGACATCACGTGAAAAGGCGTTGTTTTTTTTAATGAATGTATGTATTGTATGAACTTCCACTTATGTACCACTTGAATTGTTCGGGAAAGCCCTGCTAAAAATAGCGCCGATAACGTCACCTGACTAGGCAGTAAACACAAGTGGTGCGAGCGAGATGAAACGGTTTCCAAAGGGGCCCCCAGAGAGGGGCCGTAAGGCAACTGCAACTTCTTACCGCACTATGAAACCAAGTTATATGATTTCTAAGTCCGTATTCAAACTTATTGAACAGTAATTATTCATCATTTGAAGTTAATTGCACACTTGCCAATATCAGAATTTAAATTTATTTAGCTTTAAACATAAATTTGTTGCCAATAAAATTAAACAAGGGATGAGGCACAAGTTTTTACAATTTATCACAGCCTTCTCCCGTCATACATTTACAGTTAAATGTCAACAATGATAATAGGCATAAACATAAAGTAGATATATTTAAATATATATTTAATTTAGTACCGGAATGTGGCCGGTACAGATGGTACGTGGCTAAACACCGGACAAATCTTTCTGTTTTTTTTTTTATATATTGCCGGGGCAGAGGAGGCCGGGTATTCATATTAGTACTAATTTAAATCTTGCATGTAAAAACAAAAATAATCGTTTAATTCAGCAATATAATTAAATCATACCATTTTATTGAACCCGGTAATATTATAAATTATGTAAATCCACGGACTTCGATAACACGTATCTCGGTGACCCAGAAATTACTCCGTGGGCCATCACAACAGTTATCCCTTGGAGGGCCTCATGGAAAAATCAAACTAACCAGTCACTTTTCCCTTCCTTTCGCATAAACCACTGTATAATTATAGAAACACAAAGTAAACTCTCTCCAATTGAATACATGCCCATTAACATATTAAACTAAGTTCATCTGTGTTCAAACTCAGACAAAGATACTAGCGAGCTTAATAGTTTTAGATATTTATTCATAACATAAACAGCGCTAGCATTTCTGTCGATTCCATTTCAGCTTAACCGGCTACCCGGAATAATACATGCACCGTACTAACTGCTACGGCAGTTATGTTCTCCTTTGAATACTGCCCACCTGCAATAATGATTCCGTAACGTAATCCTTGCGCTATCTTTTGACCATTTGGCAACCTTTCGTTTCGTAGCTGACACGGTACAACACTTTTCTTTCGCTTACTTCTCACGACCAGTCAATTTGTTTACAAAGAAATGGTGTGCTATGCGCATGCGCTAGAAGAGGGAAATCCCTGAACAAAACGTTGGTCAGACAGGTAGAAACACCGATGATTTTCTTAGATTTAATCATTTTAATGAATCTATTTCAGCCAAATCCGATCGTTATTTTCCATAAGGAATCTCACTTGATATGTTTATGTAGTATTTGAAAAAAAGACAAAAAATAAGGTTACTTCACCGTGATGCCCCTTTAAGGACTGATCGATACATGTTATTAATTTGGTTTTAATCTACTTTGATACAGGAGGATTCCTCAATATCAGTCCACCTGAATGGCTGTTGTGGGTAAAGTACCTCACATTTGTCCACTACCCCTACTCCGCCATTATGACGTATATACTAAAGGATATGACTGACGTATGGTGAGAAATATAATTATTCTTTTGTTGCTTTTTGCCCTAGTGGCATCGCTGTATATATTGAAATGAGTTTTCGTTTACAATGTACATTTCTGTATTTTATTATTTGATCCTTTTGTACTAGTTGTTCATTTTGTTCTCTTTAGTTGTTGAATATGCATTCTGTTAAGAATAATTTCATTAACTTATGACAAAATTCATAAATGATTTTCTGTTGTGCTTATATATATTTGGTATCGTAATCGTTGAAGCTAGTGTCCCTTGTACATAATAACATATTTGATTTCACTCTGGTCTTGTGTGTTGTGGATGTGGAGTTAGGGCCATTTCATTTTTTTTTATTCTGAAAAACAAAAGCGTCACCTTAAAATTGACTAAACGATATATTATCGGAATAAACGATACTTCGAAGCGACCTGATTAAGGTCTTCTGTATGTGCGATTTTTCCTTTGTAGCCTTCGCCAATTTTTGTTTGAAAAAGATAAATATAAAAATGATGTAATTTACGTTTTCATTTTTAATCTTTTATTTTTATTTTCAAACATATGTGCTATTTGTTATTTCCATTTTCGAATGCTCAATAATTATGTGTGCATGTCTTTCTAATTGTCTTCATATCTATTCCCAGGTGTAACCAAACAAGTACAAATATCTTCCCCCAGTGTCTAGGCAATGTCACAGAAGTGCTGACATCACGTGACATACTAACAGGGATCGGTGTGGATCTTCCTATCTACTTCTACATCATGACAATTGTGTTTGCTATCATGATTTTTTATGTACTGGGTTACTTCTCGTTGAAATGGAAACGAGTGTGACGACGAATCGTTCTGTTTTTCGAGGTTCTATGCGGTTCGAGCTGGTTTTCTCGGTGATAAACATCTATTAATAATTATATTTATACCAATGTGTTTCGGAATCTTAATTGATACTGTTTACATAATAAAGTCATTAACTTGTATTTCTGCGCTTTTCGTTTTCTTTTGATCACAGTGCAAGGCTGGAAACAAGCTTATTTATGAAAGCGTTCCGTAACCAAATTGGCCACGATAACAAATACCAGTGATGGAGTTCACAAGCTAGTGCACTAAACTTATTTTTATTTTTTTGATGGTTTTAACAGTATTTTATTACATTTAAGATATGTTTAAAAACAAAATATGATTGAGTTGTATGTTAGACAATTCATACGGAAAAGTTTTCATGAATTTGATATATGCCAATTGCAGGTATGTAATTAAGTTTTAACAGAATGGTATTCAATAATCAGGAAAAGTTGATATAAACAGGTCATTTCAGAGGGCTTAGAAAACAAGCTTAAATAATAATGATAATAAATAATATACACCATTTGATATAGCGCCCTATCTAGCTAACATAGACCACTTTCAAGCGCTTGACAGTACATAGATATACAATAAATACAATTCGCATATACATTATTGTCATTAATCAATACAATTTAGAGGAATTCGCAGGAGCTGCCTTATCAGTCGCTAACTACTAGTCCTATGCCACTTGGCTAATATCTTCCTATGTGTGTCTGCCTACGTGTATGCTGGTGTTGTAATGTGTTATGTTTGTGATGGGACAATGCTTCCAACGACATCAATTATAGTACCACCTCACGTGAATGCTAAAGCACAGATACAGAATGTACCGCAACATCCATCCCAGACCAATTTATACTCCACCTAGGTTGTTGGAGTTGTGTAGGCAGGAGAAAAACACTTTCTCTAAATATCCATGCGTACGACGACTTCGGGTATCGAACCCCGGCCGCCTGCTTGGAAGACCAGAGTGTTAACCACTCGACCAATCCGCCCAAAAGCTTAGAGCTTTTAATGCGAAGTATGGAAGTAGTGAAAAATTCAAAATAAAGTTGAAAATGGATAGGAGGTGACCGACCCAAAGCAGTCGTCAGTAGTAAGTATTAGCGCAGTTCCATCCAAATCCTAATAGATCTGAATGAGTAATATATTAATATCATTTTGATTTAAAAAAACCTGCTTACCTTTCTGCATCTATTCATCTAAGCAACTATCAAACTACAGGACTCAATTGAAGATCAAGGTAGATAATCAATACACTTTCATGTACGGTTCTAAATAACATTTCGGCGCAGCGTGGAGCCCCATTTTTTCCAAAGATTAAATTGTGTAGTGTGTCGTCTAATGCAATTCCGTTACAACAACAAACTAATGATGTTTTGATAATTGTTGAGAGTGCTCGGATTTAACGTCAACTACAGAAAGGTCAACAGCCAATCGCAGTCGTTAGTTATTTTGGGGATGTACAAACACAGACTTTACCTTGTCTTTAAAGAAAGAAAATCAAAAGACCTCATATCGTTTTTAAGTTTCAACTGAAAATAAAAATCGCGCGATTGGAGAAAAGTTTGAATTATTGATAGTTTGAACTGGATCTGTTCAGTAATTTCAGAAAACAGACATTTTTGATACAGGTATTAGACAGAAAAAACTATGTGTTATCATAAGATTAAGGGAATATTACCGCAACAATTTTCCAGTAATGTAAGGTGGTCGTAAGAGTATCTCCACGCATTGATGTAAATGAGACATTTATGATTGTCTTCTCCCTCATTCGATAGGTTAACAAGCAAAAATCAGAAAGTGGTGTATTTTTAAGGTTATTATTTTGGTATAAGGCTACTGTCAAGATAAGTATATTTTGTTTTCATGTGCAGGACTAAGACAATTACCTAGCTTACTATGTTTCCAGAATTGTGCAAAACCATTGTATACCTTCACTAACCACAATTAACCAATTTCCATCGGTAAGGTATGATGAAGTTCTTCAATCCTGAGCTGGCTAAACATACAATGTGTCACCTGGCAGCCAGGAAATGGATAGATTCAGCGCATGGGTTGGGCAAAGATTACTAGAAATACTTACGGCTATCAACTACGGAACTGCTTGGTCTGTGAAAATAGAGTGTGAAATACACGTCTAGTTTTGTAGTGTGCTTATAATGTATATTACTTACCTATTTATTGTGAAGAATCTTATCTACAGCACGATCTCCTATAACCTAACAGTAATCAAGTATATCCATGCGGTAATTTGGTTCGAGGACCGATTAAAAAATCGCGGGGTGTTCAGCATCTTCTACAGAGAGCCTGGGGAAAATTTGGCGACAGACAGGTAGGAACCAACATTGCCTCCCGGGTTATCCTAACGGCTATACGCGAGGAACTGAGGGTGGTGATGTGACTTATCCATTTGGATAATGTGTCGTGAAGGCTTCTTTTAACTTGTAAGCCGTTCGAATACATCGTCAAAAAAACTATACTTTGACATTTTTCATTTCATATATCCTCCTGTAGTGAATCCTATGCCTCAGCGGACTCGGAATCAAATAATCATACAATTGTTAAGGAATTTAAAATCTTAACAGGCTTAATGCGAATTATGAACTACATCGAAATAAAAAAAAAGATGTTTGTATTAACAATACACAGCCCGATAGAGAAAGACAAGGGTCATCCTGTCGTTTTCTGTATTTTCTATTATGTATTCTATTGTTTCATCGGTTTAAAGTGTAGCATTTATCGTGTATAAAATAAGATATAAATGTATCTTGAACTGTAACCCTGCGGAGGACTATTTTCTGATAATCGGTGTAAATTCATAACGTTTCAAGCTAAGTTCAGACTATTATCTACTGTATAAAAGCGGTTAAAACGGCCCAAAATGACAAACTGACATCCTGTCAAAGCATATTATTGTTTTGAACAATTTTGTGTCTTGAACTGAAATATCGTAGCATAAGATCGTTTTTGTGGGAAAACCTGACAAAACGTCACAAATAGGTTCGACGAATGACACGCGAGCTGTATGTTGAAGTATGAACAATATATTCAAATCAACATCCGCAAGGACGTTCGTATGTGTGTTCACGTGACCACGACCTTCACGTATGGAAATTAGCTGATCTACCCGATACATGGCGACGCAGTTAAAATACTGTCGAAAGACATGCTGTTGACACGGATTTCATGGGTTCATGTGTCTTAGGTGTTATTACGCTTAGTGGCTGACACGGTAAGTGAAAGATAAATAATTCTAGCTGCCGTTCTGACTTCTAATAAACCACGACAGTTTGAATAAATACAGTATGAAGACGGTTGAAGTGTGATAGTGGACAATCTGCCATCAGACTAAGTTGCCGACCTTGGAGTCATTATCATCATGGCTGTAAGTCAGTTATGTAGAAATAATGGTAATTTATATTTGTGAAATATCTCTTTATTCAACTGTACGTATGATATAAATATAGTTGACATAAATGTACCAAGTATACATATATAGCTAGTCAATATCATGTTGACGTATTCTGATGTTAATAGTCTTCCATGCGCAATTAAACCAGTCTTATCAGTTATATTTTTGTTGAAAGTGATCGTTTGGATGAACATCCATTAATATGTGCAAATCAATGTTGGATTCCGTGTTAAGTGTAGAAACTTTGAAAAGCATGGGATCAAACAAAGGGGACAAACAGTTCTTAGTTCAACGCTGGCTAGGTATTCTATGCTCCGAATACTTTGAGCAAGTGCGTCATACATATCAGATACATAAGCCGGAGGACAGTGACGCGAACTTGTAAGGCACCTTTTCAGATTCATTTTTATGAAACTAAACACCATAGTCAATGACAACGCGAAATAGCTACACACAATTGTGGTTAGCAGGTGGTGAACAATGTGTTACAGTATTTAGGAAATTGGAACGCAGTAATTTACCCGGCACATAAATGGACGATTATATGAAATGCAGACGATTGCACCATCGTTTGGTACAAGTATATGTGTATAATTTATACCACCTGCCGCACTCATGGCTATCACAATATATTCGGGAATGGTCTCAACAATACAAAGACGAGTTAATGCATGAAACAAGCCTTATTCAAATTTCATGGGTAGTTGACGCAAGATTTATTATAAGCTATTTCATTTTAGTGCCTAGACGTAGTTATGTTTTTACAACCACCTTATACACACATATTTGTGCATGCGTTTTATCTATATTCTGATTAAAAACAGTTATCTTTATCATCGATCAAACGGTAATGATCAGTTTCATTAAATTCCTCTTTTACAGCTGTAAGAGATAAACGAATCTACTGTTTATGACACTGTGTATTTCATAACACAAGCTTTTGTTCGAAATAACAAACCAATTGGTCAGCAATTATGAATGTAAGCATGAAGTGAGGGATTCAATAAGCATAGTTAGTTTCCCGCTTTCGTATTTTATTTGAACAATAACTGTTGTTAATCTGTATGTCAATATCGGTAATCAGATTTCAATGAAATATGTGTCCGTCAAGATGGTATTTGAGCCTCAATTGATATTGTATTTACTTATTCAAGCTAAAACCAATAGGGCGAAAATCATAGCTTCAGAAATGACATGTTAATGGTAATCAAAGCACACAAAAATAAATCTTTCGTTTTCATAGGTGATATAGGGATACGTAAAGCTAAGGGGACAGAGCTTAATTCTTAGACTTTGTCATTGCCTGTTGTGATGCACAGATATATACTGCATTTTACATATCGAACTTTTGTTTTCTGTACCTATATTAATACTACAGATAAGCATTTCACGCGAATTTCGAAAGCTTTGAAATGAAGATTTGCTTTTAAATTTTGTGTATTTTATTTTATAATTGTTTTTCAAGATGAAGCGGTGATTGTTAGATTACCTGTCAAAGTGTAACATGGAGAAAGTTTCGAAGTCCTCCAAGCTTGAGTTTAAAGATGTAATGGTGTCAACTAAATCTAAGGTGCTACTGAAGAATGTGTCTGGATCAGCGTCTAGTGGTGATCTGCTGGCCGTTATGGGGCCTACAGGTAACATTCTTATTCGCGAATACATATATTTCAGGTCCTTTTAAGTCCTTTATAAACTCCTTTTCTGTAAACTGTGGTATATTTGGAAAGTTGCTAAATGTTTCAGAAAATGTCACGTGACACACTACTGACGTCACAAGGGAGATAAGCACATAAGTAAACTGGTTGAAATATGAAATTAAAGCACACCTGAGAACTCTGCTAATGTTTAGCCAAAAATTGCACTAAGGCATTTATTGCTGTGATAGAGCAATTAATCAAATGCCAAAGTCTAATAGCATTTCGCAAAATGCCAACAAACATTGTTTTAGATTGGAATTAAAATATAATGTTATAGGCAATAAAGGTGGGACTAGATATAAAATGATTCACCACAAAGCTTGATGTAGGCTCAAACTTTAGCAAATTGGCCCACCCAGAGAGTTAGTGTTATGTTTGGCAAAAAAACTAGCAGAGTTTTGCGGTGTGCTTTAATTTCAAGTATATCACATAAAACACGAGGATAAAACATTATTTGAAATCGTTGTAAACCCGTTATTTTACCAATTAACTGATCATTCACGATCGTAATCATCAAATGATGAAGTCATTAAAAAACGAGTGTCCTAAGCACTGAGCCACCCGACCACTTATACATATCTACACACTTACACACTTACACACACACACACACACACACGCACACACATATCCATAGTGTTGTTTTACAGGCGCTGGGAAAACGACTTTTCTCAATATATTGGCGGGAAGAGTATCAGGTGACACTGGGACAATCACGCTAAACGGATCACCGTTAAACAAAACACAGCGACGTCGCCTTGGTTACGTGTCGCAGGATGACATATTCTTGTCAAACCTGACGTTGTGGGAAACACTTTACGTGAGTATGTTAATAGTTAAATATGAAATACCTTAATATTTACCACTTTTTCCATTGCCACTTTATAACCCTATACGACAAATTAAACATGAACCACACTAGTTAGCATGTATATTGAATATGAATGTCAACTTAAAACAGTTAAATGCTGATATACTTAAATGATCTTTTTGTACAATGGAGGTAAAAACAGTATAAGCATGTGTTAACATTCTTAACTTTAATTGTTACATGATATGTTTAATTATAGTTCAGTTTTCTACAGCTTTACAATAATCGGATTCATTATTGTTGAGCAAATATCAAATTCTAAAATTAAAGATATTAAACTTCAAATTTAATACACTGTATGCATATATCAATTAATATATATGATATTTCTGGTATATCTGGTGAAGACAAGTACATACTAATTTTACATTTCATCTTGTTTATAATGCATTGTATTAAATTGCTGACGATAACAGTGGTTCCATACTGATGAGAGCATGTTGATGAAAGCATAAATATATTTATCAATGTAACAGTTACAATTGTAAATTTTGATATTGAAGTAAGATGATATCTACAGTTTACAGCGATGATACGTATACCAGACCAAGTATCACAACAGGAAAAGACCGAGAAAATATATAGTGTTGTCGATTCGCTCGGACTGAAAAAATGCCTCCATACACGTAAGTACTTTAGTTGTATCACGAAAACTGCTATACGTATTATGCTTCTTCCTGCAAGGCGAAAAACTATTTACCGATATACACTGAATAAAGACAGAAGTTCGAGAAAGGAAAACTATGGGCCCACTTAATATAATCCACAGAAGAAATAACCTTAAGGGCAATTAGAGTAGGACAAGGATTATGTTACATGTGTAACTTTAAGCGTATATAATGTAAATATTATTGTGTCGAAAAAAATGATATTTCAACCCTTTTTATTACTTGATTGGTGTATTCTTAATTCCTTTCTAGCTATTGGTGATATTTTCTGTCGTGGTATATCTGGAGGAGAGAAGAAGAGAGCAAACATTGCCTGTGAACTGCTGACAGACCCAGACATACTTCTAATAGACGTGAGTGGTTATCAATCAACAGATGCTACTCTCTGTATATAACTGACACCTATGCAGTATAAGTAAAACATCTTGTTTTGAAACTGTTGTAAATCATACAAGCATATTGTTATAGATAACAAAAGAACAAATACATTTTAAGTCTGTATCAGTTTTGCAAATACGCAACTAACCATGGCCACATAATTTATATAAAAGGAGCCGACTTCCGGTTTAGACTCTAGTACTGCACACACGCTGATGGTTCAGCTGAAGAACTATGCCACAGAGTATAACAAGACGATAGTGGCAACAATACACCAACCTTCCAGCCAAGTATTCCACATGTTCTCCACCTTATTGCTGCTCGTGGAAGGGGAGGTAACGTATTTAATTCTTTTAACAAAATGAGAATATGAAATTTAAAATATGACGACCAACAGAGGGTTTTTTAAATGTGTTACAGAGTATATTTTATTCAAGAGGGGTACTGGTGAAGAATTACGAAAAATATTGAACCCACAAGCGAAAAAAAAATGATATTCATAAAGAAAAACAAGATTATTATGTTTATAACGACTTGCTTTACAACGATATTGCACTCCTTGAAAAGATAATCCATCGTCTGCAAAAATGTTGAGACAATGAATGCTATATAACGACCTAACAATAAGTTAATATCAAGGTATCAGACAGGTTGCAATTGACAATATAATTTGTTTATTTTCGCTTTCTAACCCTGCTCTCATACATGTTTTTGTAGGTTGTTTGCGAAAATAACAAAATGTGAAAATAAAATAAAATGTTATTTGTCCCTTTAAAATAGAATCAACTTTATTTTGTTGTAAACAGGTGTTGTTTTCCTGTTTTAGGTGGCATACTTTGGTTTAGCCAATATGGTGAAAGAGTATTTCGCTAGCCTTGGAATGACATGTAGTCAATATTATAATCCTGCCGACTTCCTCAGTAAGTACGCATGATGTATGATTCCTACACTTAATGGTGCGATTTGACCAGATATTAAAATAATATAATTGTAATTCTATTTGCATACCTGCATAACCATCAACGGAATGTCTAAATGATTTAAGTATAGGAGTTACATTGATAACGATATACATGTACTAGTGCGAGTCAAACCTTATCATGGGTAGTCTGTATTTTATTAAAGTTGTACATGCCTTTAGGACTAGATATTACGATATGAAATAGTAATTACGTATTGTATGTATAACGTCAAATAACATAAAAATTGTCAAAAACTATGTTTTTCAATCAAGAATGTTATTTGCATAATTCTGTATAGTGGATATTTTGACGAAGGATACGATCAGAAATATGAAAGAAGAAGACATAAGGAATATCCAAAGGTAAAGAGTCCATACCTAGTATTGGGGTTGACAACGATGAACAAACTGTGTCAAACAAAAACAAACCCGTTAATGTAACAATGGTATATATCTTGGCATTGCATTAAAGATATGCACATGATATAATTCCGAATAGTCACAAATGTAGGGACGTACATATATTCGCTCACACATATTTCCTTGCATCGAAGACTATTTTAAGATTATACTAAACATACTCAACATTAGGCGATCCCTTGATATAACACCGTTTAAAAAAAACCATTGACTTTATATCAAAAAGTAAGTTAAAAGCAGTAAAAAGCCTACCGCTAAACTTCATTCGTCATAGAATTTCAACTATGTAAAACAATTAGAAACGAAAGGTAAGACGTCTCATTGTGGGTATAACCAAATATGTCCTAATGTTATTGGACTGCTATGATAAATATTTGTACACCCTAACCATTAACTATAATATTTGGTGTTTCAGTCTGCAGCTGCCGACTGGTCGGCTGGACGGACGTTCTGCTACAGAATCAGACAAAGAAGGAGGAACTGGACCAGCAGGGTTGCCACTTACGCTTGGTAATGAACGTTATACTACGTGTGTCCATAATACAAGGACGTTGTATAGGTTACTTAATTGATCTTTGTAGAGCGAGGAAGAAATATATATATCCAATGTCATTAAACACAACACTGCCCTATAATAAAATCACAACTATGGGTAATGTAACTGCAGTGTAGTCTAACCAACGTACTGTTATATTTGTGTAATTTTGTGTACACTATCATAAATATTACCGTTGAAACCATCCATTACTTCTTTTTAGAAATTACTTCGGGCCACTTCTGATACAGGGAACGCGTACTCTTTAAGTGAAATGTTACCTCAACGTTGTTTTGGGGTCACGATGTAACGTTTCATTCAATTTGTTTCATGGTTAATTAATCTACATTATTTTACTTTCGTCTCATCCTCGAGATTCGGTTCAATACATGTGTGGTAAGGCTGTGAGCACTTTATTAATTTACATATGAGGAAACGCAAATCTGTCGCACGGTGTTGAATACAAATGTAAGTAATTAGTTATTGAATGCTTATTTTCCTTTTGTAATCTTAACCTCAGTTGGGTCATTCCCTGATGCCAGTATCCATGTAACAGATGATAACTATATTGTCGAAGGGGATACAACTCGCCGATGGCCAACATCCTTCTGGACACAATTTAAAATGCTGAACTGGAGATCGTACAAGCAATCCAAGGGAAGAATACTGCACAAATTTGACCTGATTCAATCTGCTTTCATTGCAGCGTTTGTCAGTAGATTGTTCTACCAAACAGAGGATTCGGTCAACACCGTCCGAGATAGAATGGGCTTGGTATTGAATAGTTAAAAAACAATTTCCATTTCAAAAAGGACAGTGCTACAAATTCATATAATGAAAAATCTACGTAATTGTTTATGGACGACATATATTTTGTCATACATTTATAATATAGCTAAATGCAAAGTATATATCCATACTATTATTATTAACAAATAAATGTTGACTAAGCTACTACGTTTTTATAAATAATTTTCAAAATTTACTCCTCCACCAGCTGATATCCCCGAAGACATCCAAGAGATCAAATTTATGAAATAGTTCTCATATTTTTTAGTTCACGATTTGACTATAACCAGACATCTTTACCACTATATGTTAAGAAGTTATTTAATATGAAGATGTACAGGTTAATAGGATACAAAATGTCCAACGTCACCTATTATGATTTGTAGTTAATGATCTCCTTGACATACTGGTCCTTTCAAATGTTAATCACCACCCTTTTAGGATGTGAGTATTCTTCTTTTCGCTATTGTTATGTATAGATATCTACGTCTTATTTACTAACCCTTCACAAATTATGTTGTGGGAAATGATTTTTGTTATTTTGTAAAACAAGAGGAATATCGACGTGCTACTTGCCGTAAATAGTTGGCAATTAATGAAAAAAGGAATGCAAGTTAAATAATGATAATAAAAAACAGACTCCTAAAGCTATCCTCGAAGCTCCACTAGATCGCTGTATTATAATGTTGTCAGTTACTGGTGAGCGGGCGGTTGTCAGCAAGGATCGTTCTGCCGGGGCGTACCGACTGTCAGCCTATTACCTCGCCAAGATTACCAGTGAGATGCCCCTCCTACTGTGCGTCCCCCTCCTGTTCAACACTGCCGTGTACTGGTTGGCTGGTCTGGGAGGTGTGGACGGCTACTTTGTTTACATCGGTATTGGTATCCTCAACTGTCTAATGATACAGGTATCTAAATTGTATTTTATCTAGAATCAGTGTATCAAAACATATACATAAACTGTTTAGATTAAATCTTATGTATTGTACACTTCAATGTGTTCGTAGTATGCATATTCAGATATTCTATGTATTAAGTACAATTTTTTTTTTAAACAATTTGCCCTGCTTTATTATTTGCATTTGATATTGGGTTTTTTCATCGCTTTTGGACGAAAAAAGGCAAGAATGAAACGGGACGTGGGCGGTTTCGTGAATATGTGATTTAAACCATAAGGAGAAGAATGTGTTAACATTAAATTTCGTTTTCTTAATATTTTACAGCAATCTGCCTGCACGCTTAAAATTGAATTCAAATAAAAAGGACCCCTTGCTTTAAGAGTTCGTATAAGAAATGTCGCAACTCGACCGCGGTAGCCAAGTGGTTAAGACGTCTGACAGTCTGCTACAACTAGCCCTCAACCACTTGGTCGCTGGTTCGAGGCCTACGTGGGGCAGTTGCCAGGTACTGGCCGTAGGTTGGTGCTTTTTCTCCTATAACCCCGGCTTTCTTCCATCCCCAAATCTGGCACGTCTTTAAATGACCATAGCTGTTAATAGGAAGTAAACACAAACAAACCAAACCAAACCAATCTGTATCTAAATAATCAAAACCTTGTAAGCTAAGCAATTGTTTAACATCATGCTTTTCATGATAGGATGTTTTGAGAAAGTCTTCGAATTATATATAGATATTTTTCTTCAGATGGTTAGTTGGAAATTCTAAACATGTTAATGAAGTTTGAACGTTTACAAACATTTTGCATAATTAAGTCACCTGCAAAAAGTCTTAGTTGACCTGTTTCGATTGATATTTGTCCATTGTCAGGCGCCGTCGTGCGTCCGTGGACAATTCAAGATTTTCTTTTTCACAACCGTTGGATTGAGTTCAGTTAATTTGGTGTTTCAGATGTTTCATAACCATAGCAAAACCACATTGGGACTTATAATGGCTCTTATTCCGAAAGGCTGGAAGGACAGGACCAAAAATGATCAAATTGGCTAAAATAAAAACATTTTCTTGAGGCCAAGATATGCTAGAATAATTTACTAATCAGATAAAAAAAAATCCTTAGGTGCTTTGCAAAATTGTGAATTTCGTAATCTCGAGTCACCTATTCCCTCTAGATCTGGGGAAGAGATAAATGTTACGATAGTTTATAAAGGGAAATTACACTTGGTGTATTGTTAATGGAAAAGAACTCAAACATTGCTGGAACTAATATCATGTGATTGTGGTTTTATGGAATGAAAATTAAGACACTGCCTCATCTCTTGAGGGGAGCTAAATTAGCTATTAACTACAAATTCAATCATCTTCTTAAATTCATTTTTCCATTGTGGAAGTGGTAAATTTACTATATTGAAGTATTATATAGTAAAATATTATATTATTTTAACTGTTTTCTGACAATAACAAGCTTTGATATATATGCAGGTCACTCACTATTACCATTTTGTCGGCGAATTCATAGTCCAGAAGTCTTTTGTCAATTATATGTTTTATTTTATGTTACATCTCAACAACAAATAACACTTATATTACAACTCGGGTTTCCACAAATGCTCATAGGCTTCTTGTTTCGAACTTATCTGAACAACACTTTTTACCCAAAGAGCCGAAGTTGCCAAAAGGAAAATTGTTCTTATTATGCCTCCCACTTTATAATATTTTGCATGCGTACATTAATATCAAATTTGTTTTCGTGATTTTGTTGTTATTGATAATTTAGAGTTTGGCTCACAACCTTGGAGTGTTGATTAAAGACGTCAGACTGAGCATGATGGCTGGAAACGTGATCATTATTGATGGACTATTATTAGGTAATCCATTAGAACTGTTAATTGATTTTGCTCTTTCAAGGATATTTTGTATCAATTTTCAAAAAATGATATTTTTTTGGCTAATGCTACATAACACATCATATCAGTAATTTGTTTTAGAGTTAATGATGTTTGTCACCTTATGCATATTACCTGTGATTTTTGTAAAAGTTCTCTTCGTGAAAAAAGTAATAATTAGCATTCTTAGACAAGTTAGAACTTATATACGGTTGTCAATTTTGTCACTGTGTACATTAAAAAAGTACTTCATGAATTTTACTGACCATTATAAGTAGAACAGTTATAGAGAAAGGGAAAGAGAAAATAGGTGGAAGTCATTTAAGGCAAAATATATCCGTACTTGTTATTCATTGTATGTATTAATGGATTAAATTGAGCCAAAGAGTACTTCTACGTTTAGTTGTAACCACATATACATTGTTACATAACTGAGTAGACACTATGGATTGGTAATTTATGATGTACACACTGTACGACATCGATGTATCTATTTTCCATGACTAAACCAGAAAGGGGAAATATGTTGAAAGTCCTTACACTTTGTCTTATATAAACCATCGCTTCTCCCCACTTCCCGGTATCTGTCTCTGGTTACATCACTCTGGCTATTTAGAAACAATATCATCTCGAAGATAACATTACGAAAACAACAAAATAAATGTATGAAAAAGTGATCGATAATTGTTATTCATTCGGAAACTTTTATACAGGAGGTTTTCTCAACATCAATCCACCTGAATGGCTGTTGTGGGTAAAGTACCTCACATTTACACACTACCCCTACTCCGCCGTTATGACGTATTTACTGAAGGATATGACTGACGTTTGGTGAGAACTCTTTTTTTGTTTTTTGTTTCTTTTTCTTCTAGTTTCTTATTGCGTTTTTGCTCTCACTCCGGTATTTTATCATTGTATTTTCTGCCTACTTAAGGTACTCACATTTTCTCCTTGTTAAATATGCATCATGGTAAGAATATGTTCATATCCTTATGACAAAATTCAAACTATGTTTTCTGTTGTACTACATTGTGTTATTTTTTTTGGTATCGGTTTCGCTGTAGCTAGTGCGCCATGCATACACTAACATATTAATTGTGCCTTGGTGGGATGTGGGCTGGGGAACATTTCATTTGTTTCTATTCAAAGCTAAATTGCCCTTAAAAGTGACTCAAGTAAGATACTCGCCTGGCCTTGTCGGACTGAATGATGCTTCGAAGGAAGTCTCATTTTACGGACCAAACTGAAGAAGCTGTTCCATCGCTACACAATAGCACGCATAGATTTTTGGGCTTTGATAGCTTAACGAATGCAATAATGTCAATTTTTCATCAGTGATACATTCAGTTATATCGAAACCTAAAATAAACCCCGAAACCCCCAATAAAACTAAATCATATATGTATCAGTAAACAATTCAGTGAACAAAGATTCAAAATATTCATCTTCTGATTGTTTAAATACACTTGCACATATTTCATAAGACAGCTTGCAAAAGAAAAAGCAGTGAAACATTTACTTAATATGTCATTACGTATTTATTTAAAAAAAAAAAAAAAATTATTTTCAAACCCGTCTGATATAGGTTAATGTCTTTTCTAAAGCGTTTACAAAACAAACGAGCCAATACGGATACGTTTGCAAGGTCACTGTCCGGTTGTCATAGCTTGCATCATACTTTTGCAATCTTTTTCGCATGCTTAATCTTACCCTTTTTGATATGTAACATTTTCATGTATTTCTTATCCTCTTCATATTTATTTCCAGGTGTAACCAAACAAGCACAGATATCTTCCCACAATGTCTAGGTAATATGAATGAAGCACTGACGTCACGTGACATACTTATAGGGATCGGCGTGGATCTTCCTATTTATTGTTACATCATGACAATCGTGTTTGCCGTCTTGATTTTCTATGTACTTGGTTATTACTTGTTGAAATGGAAACGAGTATGACGACAAATTATACACTCCTTAGTTTTCGGAGTTGATACTATCGTGGATAAATTTCCAGTAATGTTTAAAATATGATAATTTTTGCAAAATGTATAATTGTTACTGTTTGCAAATCTGTTGGATTTGACTTTCGGAAAGTACCTATTAAGATTTACACCAAATACAACCATATCAGTGTTCTAATAAAAAAAAAAAAATTGGTCAGGCATTTTATGGACCTGTTATACTAAACTCCGTGCGCGCTCTGTTCACTAAACCACACATGCCTATGAATAGGGTCACATTTCTGATAAACTGTATGACTTTACCCAGAGAATGCTTGAGTTCTTTCAATTTCAGTTTTATTCAAATGGATGTTGCGATGTTCATTTCACTTTTTGCGTACTATTGACATCAACAGATTATAATTACTTTTGCACTGCAACCGTCTATATGAACATTACCAGCTGAAATGCTTTTTATTTGAGTATGAAAGCAAACGCTCTCGTGATGTAACACGTTGTTTACATATGACGTTATAGATTAACCTTGTTCAATGAGAGTCTTGTCGCTTCGCTTCGGATAATTTGGAAAATGCCCATGCGTCAAACGCTCAAATGACTACGTTTTACGGTGCACATTTTATTTAAATAGGGCTATTCGTTTAAAGGATGACGCATATACAGAACGTAGTAAATTAATTAATTATCTAAGAACAAATAGATAAAATTAAACAACTGTTTTAAAGCAAAAAAGGAAAATATTTGGATTGAACGGCGTTTTTAAAGTTGTCATGTCGATATGAACGCAAATCGGTTACATCCATATTAAACATGAAGCCCTAGACCTAACGGTGTTAGGCCGATTTGATCTATCAAAATGTCGATTTAATCGGTATGCACAGTGCACTACGGAAACTGTGATACCACGTATCAAAAACATGATGATATAATAAAGATTAGGATGACATCATTATAGTTCGCTTATATGTTGATAATGATAATTATGTTAATGTAACCTGGTGGAATGCTGTACTGGGTGACTTCGTCTTGGTATGTCAGTGAGATTGCACTCTTATGTCGGCATCAACACCGCGCTATCACAAGAAGACAAATACACCAACAAACCCTGTCTCCGGTACACATACACACATGCAATCATGCACATCACACATGGGGACACGTCCGTAAATGACCGTAGCTGTTAAGGTAGAGAAGGACACTAGAGGCCAAAAAAATCTGGTCAATATTTTTTTTTTATTTCGGATATATTTTTCTTTGGGGTGTAACGAACAAAATATCAAAAATATTCTTTGAAAGAGTTACCCCCCTTTGCAGTCCGAAAAATGTCATTTTTTGGCCCTTTTTTAAATCATTAAGGTACCCGCCAAAAAAAGCATATACTTTTATTTTGAATTTTTCTGAACAATATGATAAATATGTATTTTAAAATATATTAGACATAATATCCAAAAAAAAACAATAATAAAAAAATGGCTACCCTTTTTTGCAATATGCCGGCAACTGGCTTTTAAAATTTCGCATAAAAATATTGTAAAGTAGAATATTTTTTTTTGTGTCAATGAATTCTATTTTAAATTGGTATATAAAACAACTTATATCCATGCTACAAATCATAAGAATATAAAGATATGTTTCCAGGGAAAACAAAAAGTTAGTGGGGCTAGAACGACACCCTGTCATACACCCTTTTATGCAGATTTCATGAAAAATGTCCAAATTTTTCACTTTTTTTTTAACTCTTTTAACTTAAGGTGCGATTGATTCTTAAATTTGCATTGGTTTTGCAGCAGCCATGTTTTTGTAATATTATTTGATCCTTTCAGATAACCTTCTTTAGGTTTAAAGGAGGTTGCATCTGTTTTGAATATTCAAGAAGTTGGCATTTGACCTCAAAGCGAAATCATCATTTCATCGGTTAATAATCCTTGATCAATATAGCCTCATCTTACACAATAATCAGACATAATACTTGGAAAGGATATATTTCTTATTCAATCAACAATAATTATTAAAAACAATATTTATTTGACCTTGTTTGTTGACCTCATGTTCAAAGGATTGTCCAACCAATTAATATACCATTACAGTGTATTGAGTGTTTGGTCATGTGATACCTGTCCGTCTCTTCCTTAAAATAGGACGTTGAATTATTTACAAACAAAATGATAAAGGAATTTCATGTAGGAATTCCTTTGGAATATTATGAAAAGAATCAATTATGGTTATAGATAAATTCAAAAACGCATATCCCTATAAAATGTGTGTTTGTTGTGTGTGATGTTTTTTATATATACATATATTTTAACGAAAGGACAGCATGATAATTATATACAGTTGCCGTAAGTCGTTGGTAAGTTATTATGTGATATATTCATGATATTGATCACGAGAGAAATTGACCAATTTTTATATATGCCATGTGATTTAATTATTTTAAACGTTAATTTTCTCAAAGTTTTTAGTAAAATTAGCAAGTGTTAAAATTGATATAAATAAATAATAAAACAACTCTAAGGTTCCTCCGTACAATAAGATAACGTGTGTTCTTGATCTAATAAAAACGTGAACACTGTCATGTTCATTTACGATACACTGTATTAAAGTAAAGATAACAACGACAAGTGATTAGACTATTTATTTAATCTTTGCATAAACAATCTTTATCTGATCAACCAACGAGCTTAGGATCGATAGTTCCACAAGGTTTTTCCACATTAGCAGGCCAGTTACAGTTCTGCATCTTCTCATCAAATACCGTACCTGAAACACGAGACATTATACTATCTGTATTATGTTCTGGTAAAATACTAAACATGAAACACGAGACAATAGTATTATGATATTATGTTCAGGTCAAATACGACACCTGAAACTAGAGACATTATAATTATTATCTGGTACACTACCACATGCATAACATAAAACATTTGATGTTATATGCTCGTTATATACCAACGTAAAAGATTGGACACTAAAATTATGTTCCTGTCAAATACCTTACCTGGAACTTAATTATGCTCTTCGTTATTAATATTATTCATGTTTGTTTGTGTGTGTAAATATATCAGTCCTTTTCTACCTAAAGTGTAACGAATTCAAACAAGATAAAAAATCATGTTTCGTTAAATAAGTATGTTCGATATCTTCTTAACTATGTCTTTTGCAAATACATATGTTTTGTGATTTTCAAATAAATTTCTGCCGGTTTTTTATTGTCGTTAAAACACCTGCAATTTTGAGCTACATCGATATTATTTTAACCATTTTACAATTGATGCCATAGGTTTAAAGTATATGATTACAATTGAATGAAATAGGTAATACGTGCCTTCATCAGATAAACGTCAACGGTTTTATTCGAAATACATGCAAAATGCTAACAATTAAGAGACAAACACACCTCTTCAGCAAAAACTTGAGACTGCAAGTTATTGCTCCTTGTTTCAGAACATAACGCACATATCGCAAGACTTGACTTCCATATTGTCAGGTGCAATATTCAATTTTAAAACGATTGTATGGGAGAATAAACAAATCTCCCCTGACGGAAATAAGGTATAAGTGAAAATAGATCTACATAAGAAAATCAGTGAAACTGATTATTCCCCGAAAAGATCAAAAAGGTACAAACAAACTGAAAAAAGAAAGACCGCATTATGACATATTTCTTCTGTGAATATACCCCGAAATATCATGAAACACACCATCTTTCCAAGTTCGGACCCTGAATTTGACCTTCGACCTCAATGTGATCACGATCACAATCTTCGGCGTTCGAACATAACAGTGTTATGCAACATACCGCCTCCCCTACCGTCATATATCCTTTAAGTTTTATCAGCTTATCAGAGGTTATTGCCCAGACAAGAAATATATTTGACCTTTTACCTCAATTTGACCTTATCGTTGGGAAAACAGATCAATATAAGTAAGCAACACAACATCCCTCTATCCTGAATATGTCCCTTACGATTAATTTGATTACCTCTAGCGAGTCAAAAATTAAAGGCCTGAGCATTTATATGATCTAAATGTGACCTTGACCGTGGATGTACTGACACTAGAGTGGTATGCGACAAACTGCTTTACCATCCTACCCTTATCTATAAAATTCATTGAGCTATCTTCAGCGACCTAAAAGTGATTGCCCAGACAACGAGTTTGACCTTTGACCTCATTGTGACATTAACCTTGGGTTACAGACCTTGTAATGGAGGAGGTGTTAGCATAATGATAATAAAACTTACCCGGGGAACAGAAACTATGGCCGTAGAAGTACTCGTTCTGACATGTGTAGTAAGTTTGACAGTGAGTTTCTTGGTCCGCAAACCTTTTGTTGGGCTGACCACTGCATGTATGATTAACGTTACATGGCGGAGCCAAATTCGTCGTGCTTGTGAATAAAAATGCGTTCCAGAATGAAATATTCATATGTTGTTGTATTCAGCAAGTGAAAGTCAAAATATTTAGGCCGTTTATTGTTGATTACTATTATGACACTATAACATTAAAAATACTCATTCTAATTACCCATCTTTCACAATTAAGCTTAACAGACTCAAAAAAATAAAATAAAAAATAAAATAAAAAAATAATAAAGAGAATCCAAACAGAATACAGTTCAGCATGATAAAATAATAATAAGCTAAACGCTCAATCAACACTTCGGCACGTACCACTATAAGAGTGGATATAAATTTGCTCGTCGTACACTCGTCGTCTGCGCGATAATCGAACTACTCGATAATTAAGCGAACGTAAAACCAATCAATCAACCAATACTATTACAACGTATATCATGTAGTGAAAAAACCCAATACTATTGCCACATTTAATATTGTTTGACGAACATTTAAGCGTTCAATGTAACCTATCGTCTTCTTTTTGCATTTTTTCTTAACTTTAATAAATCTGACATTTGCCTCTGACTTTCCTAAACAAAATTTGTATAAATTGACGCATATTAATGTAATGATGTACCAACTATGAACACATCATTTAATACAGTTTCTATGCAATTCAAATAGCATTATCTACATTCAACATATTTCTACGATAATACATTATCTATTGTGCAGCCAATGCACATTCAATGTATTTATTTCTTTATTTCTTTTATATTTATTAAGTTATGCATCTTTAACCCTTCAGCATTTAGTTTTATTGTATATTTATCCCTTTTTGTGATCGTCTTTTTAAGTATTATACTGGTTCTAAATGAATGTTAAAACAATGAAAAACATACCAATAGACTATGTTTTGAAAGGAGACCTGACTAAATCGACAATTATGATGTTTCAAAATAAGTAAAGTTGTATTTCCTGTACATTGTATCAAAGATACGATTGACTGACTCACTTGCTCATATATGATGCAATGCACTCATCCCTTGTACATTGTTTGATAGGCTTACTCACCTAGCACAGCGCTTTAAGACGGGACTATACATCTGGCCGTTAGCGCAGGTGTGATCGGTAGATATCCCATTCGTACATGATGTGTACGAGTGACACGTTATTTGATAAATTCCGTCACCGTGAAGGCGGCAGTCAACCACGCAATCCACTATGAATGAGCAAGTGTTAACAAATGTATAATGAAATATGAAGAAAAGGAGAGATCATAAAAAGAGGACATGCACGTGACAATCAGAAGTAAATAAACAAATGAATAGGTAAAAGCATTGTGTATCCTACATTTCCCGTGATAAACATAGTATTATGAATGATAATGAATACAATTTGTTTTCTATTCGAACAAATATAAAAAAAATGGAAAACTCGCTGAAAAAATGCAGTTTCCAATTTCAGAATCATATGAGGCCCATTTGTATGCATGTATCTCCTTTTATACCAGTAAAATCTGCTGAGTTTGTTTAACGTTTGAGAATGTTGAAAATGATGGCCAGGTTTCTTCAGTTTGTCTTTCAACGTCGAGCACGATTATCTTAACAAGAGCATTCCATCTAACATATATGCTATCATATATAAATACATTACATTGGTTGATACAACCCTTACATCGCAAATGTACACAGAACATTCAATCCACACCCATGACTATTTCAATTTAATAATATTAGGAACATATAATAAACACTATGTTTCAATGTATGCAATGGTATACATACACGTATTACTGTAGTTTACATCCAAAGACATAATAAGAATTTAACACACTTTTTCTAAGTTTTCGGAGTTATGGAAATATTACAAATGGTATGGAGCTAATGCATTGCTTAGCTAACAGGATTACAGAAAAGCAATTCCAATACGTGTTACTGTACTCGATTACTGTCCTTGAGTAAACAAGGTGTACCTGATAACAAATGTAATCGCTTGACACGTATATTCTAGGCAACAGTCATGAAAGTCTGAATAAAGGCTTTTTAAAGCTTGCTGGATCGTAATAATCGTATGGCCTCCTGTAATATATAATTATGAAATAAACATGCCTATTTCATTTATCTAAAAGCGTTATGAAATTTAGAAAAATCTACTCTAATGTATTAGAATAGTTTTACTCAATAAAAATCCATAATTAAAGCACATTTGTATAAGGTTTGTGGCGAAAATGGCAAAATTACGCGTTTATCCATATTTAAGGAATATATTGTCACGAACCAACTTAAGAATCCGTCTAGCCAAGAAAAGCATTGTAATCATCCACACAACAACAACTTCGGGAGGCGGGTTTATGATTCATAACATGAATTTAATATTATTTGCATCTTTCGACAACTATATAAACTACATGTCAATAATTGTAACGAAGCAGATACCATATGGTTAGGCTACGTCACTAACTATGTCAAATATGTTACAGAATAAAATAAAATCAACACGAAGAACCACATTGATGTTTTTTTCATTAGCCATTGTAACTCAGCTAATAAGTTGAATTTTTTTAAATGTAATATCGGATTTACTTTGAAGTAGCCGAGAGACAAAGATGGATTACATGTATAAGGGATATACGTCTTACAGATTTCACAAGCATAATATGCAAGGTAAAATACATTACAATGTCTATCGACGTTCACGAGCTGAATTCGCCATCTTAACATTCGCAACCATAAACCAAAGAAGTCTTGTATATCTAAGTATGTTTTAAATCACTTCAATCGGTGGCAATGACCCCTCCTTATCCTTAAACAATAGTATGTATTTTAATTCTGACGAAATTGACTAAAACCAAAAAATGTACTTAAGTTGATTGTTTTATTTTACAACAGAATGGAATAAATGTTAATTCGATAAAAAAAATAATGAATCTTACCGACTCCCTGCAATACGAAGATTAGAAAACACAGAGAAAGCATAATGGCTGTTGAAATGTGGGACTCCAAACCTTGTCTGCTGTTGACGACGTAATCTTTCCGATACATAGACAGAGATAACCTTTTGGCGATCTTCTCTGAAATTAATCAGCACCTGTCATGTATTTCTTTCAGGTTCAAGAAAGAACTGTTGACAACGACAGAGTTTGATATAGACAGGATTGATGTTTGCATTTTGCAATACGAAATAAATTATGTCGACGACAATATTGCGGAAGCGCCTTCTTACTGATGAAAGGAATGATATTATTTTATTTGTGATATATTTTATCATTCCTGAAATGTTATGGATGGTAAACATTTAAAACGTTTTACGTAAAACGAACAATATTATCTCAATAAGAAAAGTAGAAAGTTAGTCAGTCAAGTACACAGAACATATCCCGTCTTCGGTAAACATACACACATGTACGCATACACAACACACATGTTCGCATACACACCACACATGTTCGCATACACACCACATATGTTCGCATACACACCACACATGTACGCATACACAACACACATGTTCGCATACACAACACACATGTTCGCATACACAACACACATGTACGCATACACAATACACATGTTTGCATACACAACGCACATGTTCGCTTACACAACATACATGTTCGCATACACAACACACATGTTCGCATACACAACACACATGTTCGCATACACAACACATATGGAGGAATGTCCATAGATTTTAACAATAGGACAGCATGATAATTATTAACAGTTGCCGTAAGTCGTTAGTAAGCAATATGCGATTTGTTGATCATGAGAAATATGAACAATTATTCCGTGGTGCGGCGTCCGTCGTCCGTCTGTCGTCCGTCCGTCGTCCGTCGTCCGTCGTCCGGCTTCAATATTTTACTTTAAACAACTTCTTCTTAATAACCAAAAGGCCTAGGGTGATGATATTTGGCCAGAAGCAAACATGGATAAAAGGCTACCAGGTTTGTTCAAAAGAATGACCTTCACTTATATTCAAGGTCACAAGGGTCAATTGTCTTAAAAAAACACTTTATACAACTTCTTTTGAATAACCAAAAGTACCAGTATGGTGATACTTGGTCAGTAGCATGATGGGATGAAAGGCTACAAAGTTTGTTCAAATAAATGACCTTCACCCATATTCAAGGTCATAGGGGTCAAATATATTAAAAACTTTAAACAACCTCTTCTGAATAATTAAATGCCCAGAGTGATGATATTTGGCCAGTAGCATGCTGAGATGAAGGGCTCCTAAGTTTGTTCAAATACATTACCTTCACTAATTTTCAAGGTCACAGGGGTCAAATATGTTAAAAACTTTAAACGGCTTCTTCTGAATAACCAAAAGGCCCAGTATGGTGATATTTGGTCAGTAGCATGCTGGGGTGAAGGGCTTCCAAGTTTGTTCAAATGAATGACATTGAATTCACAGGGGTCAGTTGTCTTAAAAAATCTGTATACAACTTCTTCTGAATAACCAAAAGGACCAATATGGTGATAGTTGGTCAGTAGCATGGTGGGATGAAGGAATACCAAGTTTGTTTAAATAAAATGCCTTCACTCATATTCAAGGTCACAGGGATCAAAATATGTATAAAACTTTAAACAACTTCTTTTGAATAACCCATGCCCAGGGGTGATGATATTTGGCCAGTAGGATGCTGAGATGAAGGGCTACACAGTTTGTTCAAATTAATTACCTTTACCCATATTCAAGGTCACAGAGGTAAAATACGTTAAAACCTTTATACAGCTTCTTCTGAATAACCAAAATGTCCAAGGTGATGATATTTGACCAGTATTATGTTGGTATGAAGGCCTACGAAGTTTGTTCAAATGAACGACCTTGAATTATATTCAAAGTCACTGAAGTCAAATATGTTAAAATCTTTAAAAAAACTTCTTCTGCATAACCATAAGGCCTAGATTGTTGATATCTGATCAGTAGCATACTGGGATTAAGGGCTACCAAGTTTGTTCAAGTGAATGACCTTGATCATATTCAAGATCACAGGGATCAAATTTATTTAAAATCTTCATAGGACTTCTTCTTAACAACCATGAAGTCCAGAATGTTGATATTTAGCCAGTAGCATGCTTAGATGAAGGGCTATCAAGCTTTTTCATTTGAATGACCTTTATCCACTTTCGAGGTCACATTTACTCAAATATGTTTAGACATTTAAAGGATCTAATTTCAATAAAAAAGGATAGGGTTTTGATGTTTTGCAAGTTGCATCCTGATATAAAGGGCTATAAGATTTGTTCAACATAATGACCTTGTTCGACTTTCAAATTCACAGGGGTGAAATGTTTTTAAATCTTTTAACATGTTCTTTAGATTACTTTTAGTCATAAATACTGATATTTTGCCTTTAGCTTTATTGAAGTTCACCTTTAAAGGGACATCACGCGAAAAGCCATATTTTTTTTAATGAATGTATGTATTGTATGCACTTCCACTTATTTTACCTCTCTATCCCCATATTCATAGTCCGTTCCAAATGTCCAGTTTGACCACTTGAATTGTTCGGGAAAGCCCTGCTAAAAATAGCGCCGGTCACGTCACCTGACTAAGCAGTAAACACGAGCGGTCTGGGCGAGATGAAACGGTTTCCCAAGGGGCCCCTAGAGAGGGGCGTCAGGCAACTGCAACTTCTTACCGCACTATGAAACCAAGTAATATGATTTCTAAGTCCGTATTAAAACTTATTGAACAGTAGTTATTCATCATTATAAGTTAATTGCACACTTGCCAATATTCAGAATTTAAATTTATTTAGCTTTAAACATATTTCTTGCCAATAAAATTGAACAAGGGATGGGGCACACGTTTTTACAATTTATCACGGGCTTCTCCCGTCATACATTTACAATTAAATGTCAACAATGATAATAGGCATAAACATAAAGTATATATATATAAATATATATTGAATTTAGTACCGGAATGTGACATCTGTACGGGGCTAAACACCTTTCTTCAACCATGGGACAAACCTTTCTGTAAAAAGGATTATTCACGAGACGAATATTCCTTTTCAAATGTTTTCATAAAGTGCATATATGCAATGACAAACTACACGCGCGTAAAAAAAAAGAGAAACGTTTGTGATTTGTTTTATTACATTGTACAACTCAATATCTTTGGCCAATGTTTTTTTTCTATACCATGCATAAACAAATATGTATACTCTCTTTCCCACTTTCACCGTCTCCATACGCTAACTCTTAGTAAGTCATATTAGCCATCACACACACTAAACTGTATGGCAAAACCACTACGTGTATATGTAGAATATGTGTCAGATATGGGCTACTTGATAATTATATTTTTTCAATACTTTTCATAGATTAAAGCATTCTTGTCAATGGACCCTTTTTATGTTGAGCCAAGTTTTCTTTAATCATTTCATTTTTGTCCGAAACAGAAGCCGTAGTTATCGGCAGCACGCGTCATTTTTACAACGTAAACAAATGTTTCTTCCCCTGTTTTCAATACATATTCCGATTCTATCTGAAGTCGAAGATTAATTCTTTATAGAGAAAAGGTTGTTACATGATCATACATTCTGAGTCAACAACATATGAAAACATGAACTGTTGAAATATTACGATTTAAAAAAAAAATGTTACGCGATCCTATTTACTAGAAGTAGGTTCTCCTTCCTCAGTTATTCATCCTGGCCCGTCATTTTGACATTTTTACTCTATAGCTGCGATAATGTAGCTTTCTGACGACGAGAGATTTTTTTTTTATATATTACGTCGTTGCGCCAGAGGAAGCCGGGTATTCATATTAGTACTAATTTAAATCTTGTATGTAAAAACAAACAAAAAATCGTTTAATTCAGCAATATAATTAAATCATACCATTTTACTGAACCCGGTAATATTATAAATTATGTAAATCTAAAAGCGCACGTATCTCATTTGACCCCGATCACGAGCACCGACAGAGACGGCTATCACAACAGTTAACCCTTGGAGGGCCTCATGACAAAATCAAACTAACCAGTCACTTATCCCTTCCTTTCGCATAAACCACTGTATAATTATAGAAACACAAAGTAAACTCTCTCCGATACATGCCCATCGACATATTAAACTAAGTTCATCTGTGTTCAAACTCAGACAAAGATACTAGCGAGGTTAATAGTTTTAGATATTTATTCATAACATAAACAGCGCTAGCATTTCTGTCGATTCCATTTCAGCTTACATGTAACTTGCTATCCGGAATACATGCACCGTACTAACTGCTATGGCAGTTGTTTTCTCCTTTGAATACTCCCACCTGTAATAATGATTCCGTAACGTACTCCGTGCGCTATCTTTTGACCATTTGGCAACTTTTCGCTTCGTAGCTGACACGGTACAACACTTTTCTTTCGCTTACTTCACACGGTCAGTCATTTTGTTTACAAAGAAATGGTGTGCAATGCGCATGCGCTAGTAGAGGGAAATCCCTGAACAAAAGGTTGGTCAGACAGGTAGAAATACCGATGATTATCTTAGATTTAATCATTTTTATGAATCTATTTCAGCCAAATCCGATCGTTATTTTCCATAAGGAGTCTCACTTGATATGTTTATGTAGTATTTGAAAAAAAGACAAAAAAAATAGTTACTTCACCGTGATGCCCCTTTAAGGTTACAAGTGTGAGATGTTTACCAGGTGAGCGATGCAGGCCTATTGGGCCACTTGTTACATATGTAATGTGATTTACTTTAAAATGTAATTTTCTAAACGTTTTTAGTGAAATATTCAAATGTTCAAGTTAATTTCTCATTATTTCGCTTGTGTATTTCAGAATTTTGTGGCGGTACAAAATATAGCATTGACATAGATATAAAAGAATATATATAAATGATTAATAAAACAACCCTAAGGTTCCTCGAACAATAAGATAAATTGTGTTCTTGACCTTATCAGAACGTGAACATTGTCTTGCTTATTTACGATACATTGTATTAAAATTAAAATAACAATGACAAGTTATAAGACTGTATATTTAGTCTTAACATAGACAATCTTAATCTGATCAACCGATGACCGAGGTATCGACCGTTCCACAAGGTTTAGCAACATTGGAAGGCCAGTTACAGTTCTGCATGTTCTCATCAAATACCGTACCTGAAAAACGAGACATTATAATAATTGTATTACGTTTGGTCAAATACCAAACCTTAAACACGAGACATAATTATTACCGTATCAGGTTCAGGTCAAATACCACAGTTGAAACACGAGACATTAGTATTATGGTATTATGTTCTAGTCAAATACCAAACCTGTAACACGAGACATTATTAGTATGGTATTATGTTCTGGTCAAATACCAAATTTAAACACGAGACATTATTATAATGGTATTATGTTCTTGTCAAATACCAAACCTTTAACACGAGAAATTACTATTATGGTTTTATTCTGGTCAAATACCGAATCTTTAACACGAGACATTAGTATTATGGTTTTGTGTTCAGTTCAAATACCAAACTTGAAACACGAGACATTAGTAGTATGGTATTATGTTCTGGTCAAATACCAAACCTGTAAAAGGATACATTATTATTATGATAATATGATTATGTCAAATACCACACCTGAAACACGAGACATTATGAATATGCTTTGGTACACTACACGTACGTAATGTGAAGCACAAAACAATTGATAGTATGTTCTTGTTGTATACCAAAATGAAAGATTTGCATTAAAATTATGTTCCAATCAAATACCTTACCTGAAACTGAATTATGCTTTTCGTCATCTACAAAACCTGAAAGCTACTTATGTTTGTTTGTTTATTTTGACTTAAATATGTGTCTTAATGTATCAGTCCTTTTCTACCTAAAGTGTAACGAATTCAAACAAGATTAAACAAATCATGTTTTAATACACAAGTATGTTCGAAATTTTTCCTTACAATGGCGTTTGCAAATAAATATATTTTTTGATTTTAAAAACCAAGTCTAGCAATTTTTAGGTTTTGTTAGTACAACTGTAATTTTAAGCTTCATCAATATTATTTTAATCATTTCACACTTGATTTCATAGGTTTATAGTATGTGATTATAATTGACTGAAATAGTTAATACGTGTCTCCATCGGCGAAACGTGCACTTTTTTTCGAAATACATTCAGGATGCTGACAATTTAGAGACAAAAACACCTCTTCAGCAAAAACTTAAGACTTCTTCAAGTTATTGCTCCTTGTTTCACAATCTCATTAAAATCAGATGTTAATACATGAACAGCTGTATTTATTCAGATTGATTGATTCAGAACATAACATATATATCGCTAGAACGTCCTTAATGTCAGGTGTAATATTCAATTTTAAAACGTTTTTATTGGACAATGAACAAATATCCCCTGACGAAATTAGAAATTAGAAAATCAGTGAAACTGATTAATTATGTTCCCCAAAAAGGTCAAAAAGGTAAAACAAACTGTAATAAAGAATGGCAAACAGTTTTAAGCAACATACCGCCTTCTCTACCTTCATATACCCTTAAAGTTTAATCAGCTTATCAGGGGTTATTGCCCTTTTACCTCAATGTGACCTTATCGTTGAGGGAACAGATCGATAGTAGTTAGCAACACAACATCTTTCTATCTTGCATATTTCCCCTTAAATGTATTTTGTTTCCTTTAGCGTGTCAAATCTTAAAGGCTGGACCATAAATTTGATCTTTAACCTTAATGTGACCTTGAATTTGAATGTACTGGCACTGGAGTGTTATGCGAAAAACTGCTTTACAATCCCACAGCTATTTCAAAATTTCATTGAGCTATCTTCAGCGATTCAAATGTTATTGCCCGGACAAAGAGTTTAACCCTTGACCTCAATTTGACATTACCCTTAGGTTATGGACATTAGAATGGAGGGGCCGTAGGCATAACGCTTATAAAACTTACCCGGGGAACAGAAGTTATGGCCGTAAAAGTACCCGTTCTGACATGTGTAGTAGGTTTTGCAGTGAGTTTCTTGGTCCGCAAACTTTCTGTTGGGCAGACCACTGCAGCTATGAATAATGTTACATGGCGGAGGCAAATTCGTCGTGCTTGTGAATAAAAATGCGAAACAGATTAAAATATTCATATGTTGTTGTATTCAACAGGTGAATGACGATTTTGTTAGGCCGTTTATTACCTTTTACTATTTTGATACTACATGAATACTCATCCAAATTACTCATTATTCACAATTAAGCGGAAATGACTCATAAAAAAACCCAGAAAACAATAAACAACAGCACTCAATCAACACTTCGTCACCTAGCACTATAAGAGTTAATATGAATTTGCTCGTACAATATATATAATGTACTAAAAACAAATACAATACTGAAAAAAATTGCCACATTACATATTCTTAAGTCAAATTCAAAATCTTCTTTTTGTATATATTGTATATTTGTACAAATTCAACATTTGCCTCTGACTTTCCAAGACAGAATTTGAATGGATGTATGCAAACCTATGTCATGATGTACCAACTATGAAAAGATTATTTAATACAGTTTCTATGCCATTCAAATAGCATTATCAACATTCCACATATTTCTACGATAATACGTTATTTATTGTGCAACCAATGCCTGTCCCTTTTCTTTATTTTGTTTTTATTAATTTAACTATTTATTTAGTTATGCATCTTTAACTCTTCCGCATTGCCTTTAGTTTTATTTCATATATGTCCCTTTTTGTGACCGTCTTATTAAGTGTTCGACTTTTTGTGTCGATTGGCCGTAAAACAAAAACAAAAACAATAATAGACTATGGTTTAAACGGATGCCTGACTAAATCGACAACATTGGCGGTTAAAAAATAAGTAAAGTCCATCTTCTATTTCTTGTCCTTTGTAACAAAGATAAGATTAGCTGACTCACTTATCGTACACAGAGAAGATGCAATGCACTCATCATTTGTATGTTATTTGATACTCACCTAGCACAGCGCATTGTGACGGGGTTATACATCTGACCGGTTAGACAGGTATGATGGATAGAAATCCCACTACTACATGAGATGTATGAGTGACACGTAATTTCATAATTCCCGTCAACTTGATGGTTGCAATCAACCACGCAATCCACTATTAAGCAACAAGTGTATTATAAACAAATGTATAACAAAATATGAAGAAAAGAAGAATTCATAACAAGAGGACATGGACAGCCGAACGACGATGCCATAAACAACATTACGTGCCAATCAGAAGTAAATAAACAATTAAATATGTAACAGCGTGATGTATTCTTCTTTTCTCTTTATATCACAGGCATGAAATGCAAGGTAAAATACATTACCATGTCTATCAATGTTCACGAGTTAAATTTGCCATCTCAACTTTCGCAACCATATACCAAAGAAGTCTATTATATATAAGTATGTTTTAAATTACTACCGTCGGTGTCAATAAATTTTCCTGGTCCTTTAGCAATTGCATGTATTTTAATTTAGACTAAATTGACAAACACTAAACAATTAACTAATGTTGATCATTATATTTTACCACAGAATAGAAGATATGGTAAATTGATAATAAAAGAATGAGTCTTACCGACTCCCTGCAAAACGAAGATTAGAAAACACAGAGCAAGCATACTGCGCTGTTGAAATGTGGGACTCCCAACCTTGTCTGCTGTTGACGACACAAGTTTTCTGGTACGACAGAGATAACCTTTTGACGATCTTCTCTGATATAACTCAGCACCTGTCAGGCATTTCAGGTTCAGGAAATAACTATTGACACCGACAGAGTTTGATAAAGGCTGGAGTATTGTTGGCAGTTGGCAAATACGAACCTATTTATGTCGACGAGAGTATTGCGGGAGCGCCTTCATGCTGATGAAACGTCAAACATTTAAAACAATTAATGTAAAACGAACAATATTATCTTAATTATTGGTTACAACAATCTAATAAAAGGTGGTCGTGTGGTGCAGTGGATAGCGCACTTGCCTTTCACCAAGGCGGTCCGGGTTGGATCCCCCGATCGGACGTGAAAAGGTTGGGGTCACTTGCCCGATCACATGGGTTTTCCCCGGGTACTCCGGTTTCCTCCCACACTAAGACCCCCCGACGCGCTAACATCCGGGCCAACAAGAGTGATTAATATAAGTTGAAATAATTTGTTTCATAATTGTTGTAAAATAAATAAAGTTTATATATATTTTTTTTAATAAAGGAAAGAGAAACAAAGTATCAACAAGTAAAACAATAAGACATTCAAATACACAGAATGGTGCACAGGGAGAAATAATTTGATTGTTTTTCTTAAATTAATAGGGCTTGAAAAATAAACACTTGTTTGTTTTGAGACTAAATCAGTTGTACAAATCTACACACACTCGTGTAGTGGTTTTTCAATTTCACATCAATTTTTTAACAAATTTTATTGACAATATTAGCAATAGTCAATGGGATCAGACATCAGGCATAGCCTATCTAATTCCTCTTCTAAAGGTGACAACAGGTGGTAAGAAACACAGACATATATTTATACATTGTTGTGATGATTGGGATAAGGGGAAGTAACTCCTTGATGTAAACAGACATGTTCAATATTCTTGAGAATTTGGTTTGGTTGCAAATCAAGTATGAGTTGTCACACATATACATGCATTGTATATGTTTGATTTGGGCTTACATGTATAAAGATATGAAACAGTATGCATGTATATTCAGGTCAACCTATGATGATAATAAAAGTAGTATGCATTTAGTAGGTATATATATTAGTTCAATTTAATTACATTATATCAGTTCAATTTAATTACAAGTAATACAAGTTACAAATTACAAATGTGGTACAAGGTATACATGACGGGTACAGTACTACAGTGACTAGTAGCAATAATCAACTTATGAAATGCACATGTACATGCACACACAACACAAAAAACAGTACTGGAGTGGGCCAGAATGCATGGAACAGGTATGATATCGCGGTCTCTGACCTGCGGGGATCTGTATGTTGGTAGAATTTCCCACTCTTGCACGATTACCTGTGGATTGTGCACCAGGGATCCAGTCAGTAGCTGTTCGTATTCCAGATCTTTTAGGAGGTGGGTCGGGTTATCCAGATTATTCATCGACGTGTGATTTATGTCTTTTCGCCGCTAGAACTACGTATTACGATGCGTCCGTTTTTGGTCCAGGTCCCAGATGTAAGATTTGAGACTTTAGATATCTAGCAATGGAATATACTTGGCTTCTAGCTTTAGTCAGTGCCTCGTTAATTTAAAGTTTAGGCGAAGTCGTGGTGGTTTGTTTTGGCCTGGAGGGTGCATTTTCGGAATGTTCCGAGTTGGTTGCAGGCTCGACTTTATTGCTGAAGAGGATACATCTGGCATATCACACTGCCGCTCTAGTTCTATACGAGATGAATCTGACGATAATATCTCTTGGAAAGTGTTTGATTTGAGGCCCAACACGATGGGTACGGCTGATGTCGTCCTGTGTTATCATAATACCCCCAGGTACTTATTGCACGCATTGATAATAAGTTGATCGGTGTCGTCGCCCTGTGATTCAGGAATTCCCCTACATTTTAAGCAGTTCCGTCGAGAATATTGCTAAAGGTCATAAACTTTAGTACCGGTAGATAGGCCTCTTTTCAACGTGTTGATATTCTACTACTGGTGCAAACAACTCTTCACAGGCTTGTTGAAAGACTTGTAACAGACAAAATATAATACCGGTTGAATTGGTTGTTTATAATCGTTTTTAGTACTCTAAGAATAGACTATTCATATACGTACTCTTAGACTAGTAGATTGAGCTATTGTACTTACAGAATGGATTATATTCTCATGTATACTCTATATATACTCTGTATTCAGGAATGATGGAATATTGTTAACCATACTCTCAAAGATGTTCGTAACAGATGTAATCTCTTCCTGGTAATAGTCCTATAATTCTTCTGAGCATGATTGCAGGTATTTATTCATAAAAACACTAAGACACGTTTATCGATTTTTCTACAATCCTAATAAGTATTTGAAGACTATAAGTTTGCCAGAATGCGAGTAAATGGTTATGTTTTTGGTATTAGGCTCACAACCCTCTGTATTATTGATTGATATACTTTATGTTGGAAGCGGGGAAAACTACATGTGAGGATGAAGTATCGTGTGCTCAAAACCTCAAATGGCTCCACTTCCATTTGCTCTTAAAAATGTTCTGTATATGGTCGATATTTAGTAGTATCATGTTGAATACCTGAGTTTGGCTGATGACGTCACGCTTGATAACAAGATTGTACTCTATTTTGAATTGGTTAGTCAACGCAATGCTACCGATTCCATGCTATTATATGGTTCAATTCTGCTTACAAAAATGCATGATAAACAATTATCTAGTTTTGTTCGCGACTTAGAGTACCAACAATGAACAAAACAACCACTTATTCCATCATTGTGTCGCTTGCAACTGAACAGAAAATATATAGATTTTAGTGCAGTAAATAGAAAATTGTGTTCAATGTAGAAAAAAAAGAACCTTATATTATCACTTGTATCGTTTTCATGTATTTTCAATACAGTGCATGAAAATGTTTATAAAGTTGATGTTTAAAAAATAACACTGACAAATGACCAGACTGGACTGTATATTAAGTCTTCTCATAAACAATTTTCATCCGATCAACCGACGAGATAGTTGTTATCAATCGTTCCACAGGGTGTTACCACATTGAAAGGCCAGTTACAGATCTGCATGCTCTCGTCAAATACCAGACCTGAAACACGAGAACTGTTTATCATTATCTGTCAACTACCAAATGTTAATTATAAAACAAGTATAGTTCTAGATCTGCTCCGACATATATCAATTCCAAACAGTACACATCAAATTCTGTTCTTCTCAAAATATTAAACTTGAAACATGAAACATTTCAATTATGTCCTTGTCATATACATGTACAATGTACCAACCTGAAACCATTGACATTATCGCCACCAAAGTGTGTGTGTATGTGTGAGGGTGTGTAGGTGTGTGTATGTATGTGTTTTATAAGTACTTTCCTACCGTATATTAATCGAAAGAAAATTATATTAAAAAAATCATATATTTTATCAAATAAATATGTTTGATCTCTTGTGAATCTATTCATTTGCAAATTGACATATTTGGCGTTTTTAAAATAATTTACCTCTAATGCTAAAAATCTTTCTTTGCTAAAAGTGTGAGTTTATACTATATTATTAATTTGTTTTTTTTTTTATTAATAATATCACATGACAACATATGATTTTATCTGACTAAACTATATGCAACGAGTAACTAACAACACCTGCCTCCATCGGTTAAGCGTCTTTAAAATTCATGCAGAATGTTTACAATTACGAGCAAAACACGTTTTCAAAAATAAGACCTCCTGTAATCATTGAACCATGTTTCAGAGCCTATCTAATATAATATCCTTATTGGCAAATCTGACATTTAAATATAACATTGGATAATAGAAAACGTACCCTGACGGAAATAAGATAATGAATAAGTAAAAAGAATAAATCTAGGATATGATTTTAAAATAAAATTTTGAATGTTGGCATCATGTTTTTCATGACTTTATTAATTCATCGGAAAGAAAAAAAAATCTGCTCTGAATCGATTTATTAGACGTTAAAGCATGGTAAGATGAGTTTCGAAAGTCACATGTTCAGGACCACGTGTATCCATCGTTTGTGCCGAAAGCAGCGCCGAAGCGTCGTCGTATTGAACTTGTAAACCGACTGATATGCTGAACAAGGATGCTGTTGCATTCGTCAGTCAATGTTTTGGCAACTCCTAAAAGTTATACAGCTAATTTTGACGTTTCCTAACGCTGTGCTCAAAACTATCCAGAATTCACTATATGGATGACATGTTGGCTAATTTATATTGCCAACGAAACTTCTGAACGATTGTTCTGCTGACGTGACTGCGAAGAAATTGTCAATTGTGCATTTTGATGTTACGAAATTTCCGCATGGAACATGTCAACCACCCTTTCCCTCGGACTTTGTGCCATCCAAGGCATGTTGTGTGTTTTTAGTCGCCACGGAAAACAAAAGAATATCATTTATGCCAGTCACTGGTGTAATTCAGGAGTTATTTGCGAAAAAAGTATAAGCATGATTTGGGTCAACATACAATATAGGCTTCCACGAGTGTATATATGTTAAAACTTTATTAAGACTAAAGAATATTACTTTTGTCTACGACAAATTCTTTCTTTTATGGAAGATCACTATTTAAATGTAAAAAAAAATCCGTTATATCAAATTCACAGACCTGGAGGTGGAAGGGTACTTGATTTCCAGAGACAACTCTGATCAGTAAAGAACGACAACAAACCCAACAAAAACTTAACCGCTTAGTGCTACAAAGCTGTTTCAGTTTTAAATGCATTACAGTTTTGTAATGTATCATTAAAGCCATGAAGAGCAATATCGACACATCCGTTCAAGTTATATTAATAAGGAGGGGTACATATACTCAACTTATTCGAGTTTTTGTTTACCGTGTTCATTTGCATATTGATTTTGAATTGTGTGCGTTTATCTATCTTCTCTTTTATCATTTCGCATTCGAACCTTTTTTTTTGCGAGGGCGTTCTGGCAGTACTGAAACTTATAGATGTGAGGGTCATTCTTTATATCCGATAACAAAACAACATTAATGAACTGCCATGGTCCTAAAACTCAATGTCGAGATAAACAGAAATCGAGATAAAATACTTTTTAATACAAAGACCGGTTGTATAATGCGTATGAATTATAAAACTTACCCGGGGAACAGAAGTTATGGCCATGGAAGTATCCGTTATGACAGGTGTAGTAAGACCTACAGCTAGTTTCCAAGTCAGCGAATTTAAAGTCCGGCTTATTAGTACAGTCAACTACAATGCTACACGGCGGAGACATAGAAAAAAAAATTGACCAGAAGTTAAAAAGCCTAGAGGAAAAACTTAGTTCTCAGATAGAGGGTAAGTTTGATAAAATCTTGGACAAACTTGGTAATCGATCCTTGGGTAACAGTCAGAGGTCGGGTCAAGATAGTCAGAGGTCAGGTCAAAACAACAAAGGTCGGGGCCGAGGTGGATATAATAGGTCCCGGGGAAATTGACACAACAATAAGGATAAGGCCAAGGATGTGAGGAACTCCCCAAACGAGTAGCAGTCTCTGCTAGCGGCCAATCAGAGACTGAACTTATGTCAAAAGGCCAAGGTCATGGAATTTTAGATAGACTGTTAGGGGTATCTAATGAAAGTAAGATTTTTGTTGAAGGTCAAAAGGTCAAAGCACTGATAGACAGTGGATCTATGGTTTCAACCATATCGAAAACATGCTATGAAAATCTTCTAGATACACCCCAACTTCAAGAATTGAACACTCTAGGATTAGAGATAACAGTAGCTAATGGTTCTACTTTGAATTACTTAGGCTATATAGAGTGTAAGGTTGAGATCCCTTTCATGGCAGAAAATAGTTTTAATATTCTTATGCTGGTTGTACCCGATACTGACTATAACAGTACTTGCCCTGTTATCCTAGGCACCAATGTTATCCGCCTAGTCAAGGGGGCGACATTGGAAGGATCTGTAGTACCACAAGAATGGAGAGCTTCAGTAGATAGTGTCTCCTGCGCATATGCAGTGAGATTGTTGAGTAAAAAACCTGTTACAGTTGCTCCCTATGCCACCATTGTTCTAAATGGAATCGCCAGGGGTTTAGACCCCGACATAACTGATCTAGTCACAGAGAACCAGGACAATTCTGCTGTCCGGTATACAGTTTGCCCTCGTGTGATTAAAGTGAAACAGAATGCGTCATGTGTAAAAGTACCAGTGAAGCTGTGTAATATTTCAGCTAAACCTGTGGTTATTCAACCGCGTTCATTAATCTGTACTGTTAACCAGGTCAAGGTAATAGATAACTTAGCTTCTGATCTCCCTACGGTAAATGAGAATTTATCTTTACCTGAGGAACTTGGTGTACATATTGACAGGACTAATCTCACAGAGGCACAACTGTTGCGGGTTCGACAAGTGTTGGGTAACTGGACACAAGCATTTTCCACAAGTCAATTTGACTTGGGAAACACTAACATTGTGAAACATAAGATTGACCTCCTTGACGAAAGGCCATTTAAACAGCCTTATCGCAAGATACCACCCGGTATGTATGAGGAAGTTCGTCAGCATGTTAAGGAAATGCTTGAGGCCGGCGTGATACGCGAATCTAATAGTCCTTTCTCTTCAAATGTCGTACTTGTACGAAAAAAAGATGGAAGCCTAAGATTCTGCATCGACTACAGAATGTTGAATTCACGTACAAGAAAAGATGCGTACATGCTTCCTCGCTTTGATGACACGGTGGATACCTTAAATGGTTCCCGTTATTTCACAAAGTTAGACCTAAGGTCAGGATACTGGCAGGTTGAAGTTGAGGAGTCCGATAAGGAGAAAACTGCGTTCTCTGTTGGTAACCTGGGATTCTGGGAAACCAACCGAATGGGTTTTGGACTGACATGTGCGCCAGCAACTTTCCAGCGCTTGATGGAAAAGTGTATGGGAGATATGCATCTGAGGGAATGTCTTATATTTCTGGATGACATCCTAATCTTTTCTAGGACCTTTGATGAACACTTAGACAGACTAGAGTCAGTATTTGCCAGACTCGTCCAACATGGCTTGAAACTCAAACCGTCCAAATGCGAGTTCCTCAAATCTTCAGTCACATATCTCGGTCATGTTGTATCAGAAAAAGGTATAGCTACAGATCCAGAAAAAACCTCTGCGGTCAAAACTTGGCCCGAGCCCAAAAATTTAAAGGGGCTGCGTCAGTTCTTGGGTTTTAGTGGGTATTATCGGCGGTTTGTAAAAGACTACGCCAAGATAGTACAACCACTTAACAAGCTTTTACAGGGTCATGACTTGTCGAAAAAGGCTACTAGGTCTGACAAGGCTAGTAAGTCTAAGAAAACAAAGTCTAAACGCACGCAAAAAGCTGAATGGATCTGGGGTGAAGCTCAGCAAAACGCGTTTGACACTGTAAAGGAAAGACTGATCAGTCCTCCCGTGCTTGCGTATGCGGACTATTCTAAACCCTTTATACTGCATGTTGATGCTAGTGGTACTGGTTTGGGTGGAGTACTCTACCAGAATCACGAGGGTAAGGAAAAGGTCATCGCATATGCGAGTCGAGGGCTCAGACCAAGTGAGCGCAACTACCCAGCTCATAAGCTTGAGTTTCTAGCGCTGAAATGGGCGGTTACTGACAAGTATCATGATTACCTCTATGGTAATACGTTCGAGGTTGTCACAGACAATAACCCCCTCACGTATGTGCTAGCTAAAGCTAAGCTGGATGCCACCAGCCATAGGTGGGTTGCTGCTCTAGCAAATTACAATTTCACATTGACATACCGAGCTGGGAAAAACAATGCCGATGCAGATGGTCTCTCCCGCATATCTTTCTGTAATTCTGATGTTGTCAAGGCAGTATGCCAGTCTGCAACTATTGTAGCTCCACTGATTGATAGTGTTACGAATCATATTGAATGGTTTTCTCATGTGGCCAGTGAGAATGTACATTCAGATGATTGTTTGAGCACAATAGATTGGCAAAAACAGCAAAAGGAGGATAAAGAAATTGCCAGGGTTATAGACCTCAAGAGAACCGGTTTCCATCCCAGGGGGAATAACCGAAAGAATGAGTCCCCATATGTTCAAAAATTTATGAGGACATGGAACAGGTTCAGTCTACATGATGGGGTACTATACAGAACCGCTTCTCTGGATGGTCATGAAGTGAAACAACTGGTGCTACCAAAGCAGTATCATGCCTTAGCCCTGAAAGGGGTCCATGACGATGTAGGTCATCAAGGCAAGGAAAAAACTCTTTGGTTGGCTAGACAGAGGTTCTACTGGCCAGGTATGGAGAAAGATGTAGACAACAGAGTTGAGAACTGTGGACGGTGCATAAGACGTAAAACGCCGGTGAGGCCACAAGCTGAACTGGTACCAATCCATTCCACTAGACCCATGGAGTTAGTCTGTATTGACTTTCTCAGCTTGGAGCCCTCCAAGGGTGGTTATGAGAATATTCTGGTGATTACTGATCATTTTACCAGGTACGCTCAGGCGGTGCCCTGTCGAAATCAGACGGCACACACAACTGCTAAGGCATTTTATGAGCACTTCATAACCTTTTACAGTTTCCCTGAACGTCTCCATAGTGATCAGGGTCGTAATTTTGAAAGCAAAGTCATTAAGGAGCTCTGTAAGATCGCAAGGGTTCAAAAGACCAGAACCACACCCTACCATCCCATGGGGAATGGGTCGGCGGAACGCTTCAACCGCACACTCCTTGGTATGCTTGCAACCCTGGAGGAGGATCAGAAAGTGGATTGGAAGTCATATGTAGCGCCATTAGTCCAAGCCTATAATGCCTCAAAGAGTGATGCCACCGGATTTTCACCACATTTTTTAATGTTCGGTTGGCATCCTCGCCTGTCTGTTGACGCTTTCCTCGGAACAGACCCTTGTGAACAAGGGGCGGCAGACCATACCTCGTACGTCAGTAAGCTAAGAGAAAGGATGAAATATGCCTACAAGGTTGCTGGTACAGAGGCTGCTAAAGTTTCTGCTCGCAATAAGAATCGCTATGACAGGTCAGTCCGTGAGACAAAACTAGAAATAGGGGACCGTGTCCTAGTAAGGAAGGTCGGTCTGAAGGGGAAGAACAAGTTGGCGGATAAGTGGGAACAGGAACCCTATCTGGTTATTAATATACCCAATAGTGATATTCCTGTATATGAAGTGCAACAGGAAATGGGAAAGGGACGTAAACGGACCTTACACCGGAATATGTTGATATACTTCAATTCTATACCCCTAGAAGTTCCCACTATGGAGCCTCGCTGTAAAGTGAAGTCATCCAAGCCAATCCCTTCTGCTCACGGTGATCATTCATCAGGGTCAGAGGACTCCTCAGAGTCCGATACTGATGATGAGCCTGTAAAGCTCCTGCGAAGTTCCAGGAAAAGACCTTTGAGAAATACCCCGGATAATCTCACCACTACTGCTCTGGAGCCAGTGTCTGCCATAGCTATTGAAGCTACACCCCATGAGGCAACAGTGGTGGAACCTGAATTTTTAAACTCAGAAAATGTGAGTAATGTCAGGGACCAAACAAGCCAAACCGTAGGTGATTATGAGGGTAACTCCCACAGGGAACCACCACAAGGGCCACCCATTTTACGACAATCCACACGGACGTGTAAACAACCAGATCGGTATGGTCAGTGGGTATTCTCTCAACAGGTTGGGCAAACGAGATCTGGTGAAATTTTTGTATGAATTATAAAATGTTAACACCGAATGTGATAGTTTTTATCCAGATTTTACTCAGTTGTCATTTTACATAATTATGTTTGCATGTTGCAAATGGCTCTGCATTTACAATCTCCTGGAGTAGGTAGGGGGTCCCCCAACCACTTTGGCTGTGTCACAGTTAGGAGTTTGCTATATATATTTGCCATGGTTTTATCGCTCTACGATACTATTTTATTAATAGTGGTTATCCCTGATAATGACCATATCTTTTGACTTTGAGCCTTTCCTGTGGTAAGCTTAGGGATGGTGAGTAAAGCTGTAGATGGAATTGTTGAATAATTATTCCCTTATGGATAAACTCAACCAGCTTGCAGAATTGGAACTCCTCCATAAATCTCCTTGTCTTTTGTGAAAAATGGCAAGTAATTATATTTCATATATAAAGAGTGCCTAGTATAGGTACCAGTAGAGTATATGCACACCTATAACTTCATTGTTACTAGTGCAATGTTGTAATTGGAATACACTTGTATAATCATACGTATAAGGTATAGTATGTTATTGTGTAAATC